TGTAAAAAAATTGTTCCGCCTTTCCACTCTTGTGAAGAAGGCCAGCTAAGCTGTACTCGATACACTGTGTGCTTCTTCTTCGTCGTCGTCTGTTTTTCGCGCTGTTTCCTACGATGAATTCCCACCAACGCGCCCAGCTATCCATTCTCCAATTATAGCTGGAAAGGTTGCCGCCATCTACGATCGACGACGGAAACCATACTGGTGGTGTGCTTGCCGCCGTCGCTTATAGATGGCGGTAGCTGTCGAGGTAGGTTTGTGTCGACATACACGGACACAATCCTGGGGAACCTAGCCCTTAACAGCTCCGCTGTAAAACTAAGCGCTAATTGCGAAGAGATCAGAGTGGGCCGGCTTGCTAAAAACAGCGTCTCATCTGAGATTGGGGGAAATAAAGCACTTCCAAAGCCAGCGCCCGACCTGAGCAAGACTCATAACGCTTTTCAAGACGCTCGCACACCCAAGTCTTTGCGGTGATTACTTAACCCAGTCTCAGCTGAGGCGTTGTCTTAGCAAGATGGCCCTGGCTACGTCCTAAAATCTGCTACGTCCTAAAGTCGCTAGCAGCTTAAAAAACATTGGGCGTGATCTAACATGATCGTGCTATTTGCTTAAATATTCGTTCTTTTGTGACCTTATATGATGATGCCGCACTCTTATTGACTGCGGAGCAACAATAAGGTATTCTAAACTCGCCTCGATCTCCATTTTTTAAACTGTCATTGGCAATAGCTATTACCAACGTTTGGGTAGGAGCTTTCAAGGGACTTTCAGTTTGAGAAAAGATTTCTAGGCATCGTTCAAAAATGTCGCGCTGAAATTTTGTAGCACTCAGCGAAGGTCAAGGATCGCGATCCCTCCGTAGGTACACATTCATCCTCAACTTTTTTTGGAAAACAACGCATCGGCACATGCACTGAAATGAGAATAACTGAACAATAACTGATCTGAACAATAGCAGAAATTGCTTTGTTCCCCAAGAACATTTTAGGTGACAGTCATAAACTATCAATAAGCAGTAATTAAACATTTCAAAGTGTATAGTATTTATTCCACATTTCTTCTTTTTTTTTTTTTTGCATTGTATCTCATGGCCATGGGTTACGTTCACAAAGTTATCGATTTTGCTTTTCTTGACAAAGATCGTAATGTTCCCGATAACTGTTATCGCCTCGGTATACTAGAGCGTTAATAAATTAAAATTTTGATATTTCCTTGAAGACTTTCTATTCCACGGAATATTCCACAAAGTTGGCCATGTACTTAAAGAAGCGGTGCAACGATATTCACTTGGAATGTTTTTCGCTTTACACGAGCTTACTGGTACTAGTTGGACTCAATGATACTCGCACACAACGCCACTGGCCAAGAAACTCCTTTGTTCCGGTGTAATTTTAAGGACAAAAGCGATCATTTTCATTCAATCTTACCTTTGCAAATTTTAATGACGTAACGTGGGGATCGCAGTACACCCCAATGACGATATTTGAACGCGGTTCATAGATTGGACCCGAGCATTGCGTGGACACTCGATTTGGGCTCGTGATAATTACTAGCTTGAGAAGCATTCGGGTAGTGGCCCGTGTCCAATCGCAGCAACGACGACAATAGCCGAGCCATAACAATGTCTGGAACTCAGCGCGCGTCCTGTGCTTTGCCAACCCCGGCGCGTGGCTATGATCAACATTGGCTGCATATAATCGGCTCCAGATTACGTGGCCGCTTGTTCTCGCTACCAGTTGAGGGGGTGAACGCTGCTCGTTTTTCTTTAATTTTTTTCTGGAACTTCCGTTGCGTGGGGTGAAAAACGAAAGCGTGTTTCATAGGTCATTAACGTCAGTGATCCGTTCTAAGTAGTATTTGCGCAAAGTGCAAAAACTGTTGTACAAAAAGTGCAAAAAATATATATGTGTATCGTGAAGAACGGCTAACGGATTTCTTGTGTTCTCTTTTTTTTTAACAGACGAAGGTGCCCAGTGGAACAACATTGCCCTGAACCCCAACCCGGGCCTCGGCTTGTCCCTGTTCTCCATTATCAATATGCTGATTTTCGATACCGTGCTGTACGCCGTGCTGGTCTGGTACATCGAGGGCTCTCACATGAACAGACTCGTTGACCGCCAGCCCTGGACTTTGTTCAAGGTGGGATTTCACCTCGAAGAGTTGAACGAACCAAAAGGAAGTGTGCCACTGGTTACGTATGAAAGACGGCGTCTTGACTATAGAAGTAACTGAAAGCTGGCTCATACATTTGAGTTTGACTGAAACCGACTGCCATACACCCGCTTGAGATGGCTCACGACGAGAACACACGTTGTTACACTGGCGCCATCAATTGGGTAGCACTGGAACTGTTTCCGATCTGCCTATAACTAGACTGAAGGCTCTGCAGTATTTGGGATACCAAATATATGCACTATCGAAGCATATATTCACGCTTATAACATCGTCAGTATTGTTTGAACCACAAGGTGAACGAGTGATGCGTGAAATATACTCAGATTGGAAGATCTGAGTATATTTCACTACAACCTACTGAGAAAAGACTGGTTTTAAGCCTCTTGAGATGGCTCACGACCTGCTCCGCCGCAGCGCATTCGGTCTAAGAGGCTTTAAAACCGTTCTTGTCTCATTCGATCGCACTCAGTTGCAAGTCTGTGAACGGGCCTTTGTCTCGTTGTAAACGATCACAGTCACACTCAGGCGCAAATCTGTAAACACCGGCGCCTCGAATGATGCCAGAATGCCGCACTTCATATCGCCCCCTTGAACTGGGGAATCGAGTCAGTCAAGGTTTCTAATCCGCTGAAGTCATTCATCTTGACTGACTGTCTTGGCTGTCTAAGCCGGAAGAAAAAAAAGTAAGGTATAACGTACCGGAAACATAATTACGCGTAAGATTTAAACAGCTGGCAGATTACGAACGGTTGGAGGCGATGGGCGTGTTGGTCTTGCTTTATGGTCACTGTCAACTTAAGAAGCGTAGGGTGTGGCTTACTATGTTCACGCCTCTTGCCTCGTGATTCGTCGTTCTGCGTTCTTATTAACTGATGCTGCAATCTCATTGGTCACGGTAAAATAATAAGATAATCGAAACAAGAGACGCATGCGTTTCCTATAGTCGGTGACACGTCAAGAAGGAAGTGGAAGCTACTCCCCTCTTTTTCCCCTATAGCAGAGCGAACGCTGGAGAGGAGGTGACCTCCTGTCCAGCGTTCGCTCTGCTAAAGGAGAAAGAGGTGAGGGGAGCTTCCACTTCCTTCTTGACATGTCACCGACTATAGGTTGTCAGTGCTCTGCAATGTGGAGTGCAAGTTCTGCTTCTTGCGCAGGGGTTGCAGTGACGTCATGTAGTCTAGCCCTTACTGGCTCTGATGAAGATAAACTGGATAGACCTCAATGACAGCTGCCTTATAGTTTCCCTACCATACTTTCAATCGCAGCCAATCAGACCTCGGCGTTCTGACGTCACCGCAACCCCTGCGCAAGAAGCTGACCAACTTGCGCTCCGCATGGCAAATTATCGGGTGCTTAATTTGACCAGGAGATTGGAAAGGTGGGACAGTTGGTTCATCGAAAGAATATCTGCTCCAGGGAACAAAAGCAAGCGCACTGAATGTCTTCTTTCTAGTCCTCTGTCCCTGGCGCTTATAATAACCTTAATTCGGTCATAGTCCCGTGAATATGTGAACATTTTTCTTCTAGGACAAACTCGATAAACTCGCCTCGAGAGAAAAACGAACATCCAGGTACCAACTGGACCCCCAGCGTCAAGTCTCGTCCCACTCGAAGCCAGGTCAGCCAGAAACGCGACCCAAAGACGCCACGAGCGTTTGCTTTGAAGAATTCTCTTTAAAAGCTATTCCGGGAGTTGAGCTCGTCAACCTCACCAAGGTAACCAACACTAAAGTCCACGTCAATAGGGAGTTGTAGTAGATCGTTTTGCTCCTCCGCTACGCTATCCCCGAAGAAAACGGCGCAGCTGCGCATGCGCGCTGCCAGCCTTGTCTGCATGTTTCAAGGTCTTGTGGCGGATTACGGAGCGCTATCCGGGTGCTTAGCGGGCTGCGGAAACGGTCTACTACAATTCCCTAATATACCCTTTCCAAACGTCAGAGCCAGCTGTTACACGCTTGAAAAGCTCCAGTTTAGCCGCTGTAATGGCGGTGACAGGAGATTATGAAGCTCGCCTAAATAAAACATTCTTGTATTCGTCAGTCAAAAGTGACACATACAATGGCCAGCTTGTTAGAATCAATTCCTCGCTTTCTGTTCTATGCTTTCTATGCTTTCGAGGACGTTCAGTTTTCCCGATGTGCAGAAGCTGTGTAATTCCTCACTTAAAGGGTTGGGTTTGGCTCCGGACGGCGTGGGCAGACTATATTTTTCTAAAAGAGTCTATTGAAGCAATAGTAGTATCACGAGACTCAGACTGATATCCCGTACCCGACTCTGTTTGATTAAAATTGTCACTCTGAACTTCGAAGCAACTTTATTTTCAAGATGTACTGACTTACAGCTTAAAAAACGCAGTTGCCATGTTCCCGTTCCTTGCTTCCTGATTTGTTTTTCGGAGTTCCTACCGATTAATTCCGCAACATCGTAGGGTGTGGGGCAATATTGAGATCCTCCAGATTCAACAAGCCAGGAGTTTCTAAAGCTTCTAAAGTAAGAGTATTGGCTCATCTAACCACAGTGGCGGAAACCAGCGTTGAGGATTATAAGCATGAACGTGTGTAATCAATATATTCTACGATCGATCTAAACTTTCTATTCACCTTGTTTGACGCGTTTATCTTAATTTTGAGATAATAGCTATATTGCCTTCGATAAGTGTGACGGTTGCTGTTGTTGTTGTTGTTGTTGTTGTTTAAAGCAGTCTATTTTAACGGAGAATTTGACTGCTGAGATAAAGATTCATCTTTATTTTCCTTTTTCTGCGCGGAATCATTTGTGATTGGCTTTATTTCGTTATTGAACCGCGCTACTTTTAAAACAACATGGTAGTGTTATTCCTCCTAAAAATGTTAACACCTTTCGCATATGCCGTTATTTTTTTTTTTTACTCGTTTATAGTTTGGGCGCCATAGTAACTTGAAGACACGCTAATGCATCAGATGGTGTCTTTGCTTAGTTCTCAAATGGTGATAGGTATGACAGCAATTATTTGTACATTTTACAGGTGTACAATAAAGTACCCGTGGTAAACAATGTGTCGTTTAAGGCCTTCAGGGGACAAATCACTGCACTACTCGGTCACAACGGAGCCGGCAAAACCACCACAATACGCATGATAACAGGTAGGAACTCTAAAAGGGTGAGCGCGTTTGCTCAATATAAGAGCTAATTCTTTGGCTGTAAACAGGAGGCTGATCCAGCTTACTGGAAACTTGATCTATATCCTGCTTAGCCTAACTATATTCCTCGATAAATCGTTAAACACCTCAATGAATCACCGTAAGAAAATATCAGCTAGTGGTTTTGTGAGGTTCATAAATTATACGCTTCTAACGTTTTTTTTTTTTTTTTAATTAATTCGCTAGTTCAACAACGATTCGCGCGAATTGCGAATAGGCGGAACAACGCCCACGCCCAATTTTTTCCAATATTTGGGAACTGTCCTATGCCGATCACAAGTTTTTGGCCGTTTTTAATATTTTTTTTTTCTCCCAGGACAACTAGCGTCCACCAAGGGTCTGGTGCTCATCGGAGGTCACAATGTGAAAACCCAAAGCCAAGCCGCTCACGAAGACATGGGCATTTGTCCTCAGACAGACATCCACTTCAAGGACATGACCGTCTACGAACACCTCCTCTTTTTCTCTGAGGTAAGGTCGCTGTGGACTTTAAAAAAAAAGAGGAGCCCATAATTTGTACTTCTACAGCGTGTCTCAAAAATAATTTACAGCTTTCTTTTTTTTATTATTTATTGTGTTCACCACAAAAACGAACTATACGCGTTGCTGGACGCCCATTCTTCGCCCAGATGTAACGGAAGCGGTCAGATACAGATGCCAAAGTTTCATCACTAACCAATTCTCGTATTCAAAAGTTTATAAATGATTTTCTGAAAATTTTAATGAGAGAATGAGGCCCATGTTTATAAAAAAAACAGCAGGAAACGCTACGATCAGTTCGATATAACAAAGACCATTTACAAGGAACTTTCACGATGCGTTTGTTGTAAGGCGAGAGCTTATCTTTCTTTATCTCTTCGCTTCTGCCTTGTAACAACGCCCTAAAAAGTTTTTTTCTTTTTTTTTTTTTTGCATGTCTGCAGAGTTTGGTTCTTAGCTAACTTCTCTTTCTGAATCGCTTCTCTTCGTGGGCAACCTCTTTGGGATGACGCTTTTTTTTTCCTTTGCGTGCGTGCAGAGTCTTTTTTATAGCTTTCTCCCTCTCTAAATCGATTCTCTTCGCTCAATTTTGTTTGCAACTTGAGCTCTTGGAATTTCATTTCTTCCCTACTTTTTGTTTTTGACGGAAAGGGATAGGCTAGACGACGACTGCGTGTTTTTGGAAGCCTTCCCGGAGGGAACAAGTTCGATATAGCCAATATGTTTTGCGTTATAAAAAGTACTTTTCGCATGTATTTTTATTTAAATTTTCCGTGAGTTCGATATCGACAATAATTCGCTGTGCATGGGTTCGTTCTAAACGGGTTTCGCGTATTTGAGGAATGGACCCAGCGTGATTTTCCCATGGAAAATTTTATCAAATCACATTAAACTTTTGAATCAGATAATGGTTCGTGCTGAAACTTTGGCATCTGGTTCGGATTGCTAGTGTCACATTTTGGGCGGAGAATGAGGTCTCGTCGATGTGAAGTTCGTTTTTCCGGGAAAAAAACCCTTAACTTGTTTTTTATGTTGTTGTTGTTGTTGTTGTTTTTTTGGGGGGGAGGGGCATTTGGTATTTGACATTATACTCACTGGCAAGTTAAGAAGCGAATGGTGAAGCGAGTCCCGGGCATCTCATTTTCACTCCGCAGCCAACCAGATTGCGGCATTCGCCGGTAAGAACGCCGGAGAGCCAATCACGAAGCGAGAAGTGTGAACCTAATAATCCACTTCCTGCGTTTCCTAAAGCTGTCAGCGACTCTAACCGCGCAACTAAACTCCGATACTTTATTAGAATTCGTGCGCGCGCGCCCGACTTCTGCACACAAAAGGCGATACGTATGTAGTCACTAACAGTCGAAGAAATTATGGGCGTGGCCTATTATGACCACGCCCCTTGCTCGGTGAGTGATTCGTCCTTCGGCGTTCTTAACGACTGATGCCGTAATTTTCCCTGGCTGCATGGAAAAATGATAAGATTCCCGGAGTCCTGGCTGCATGGAAAAAAGATAAGATTCCAGCGTTCATTAAGTTGTCGGTGAGTTTAGAAATAAAAAAAAATAAAGAAAGGATTTATGGACCTTTAGGAAGTCGTGAGTTCCGTGCTCTTTAAACGCAGTTGAAGCGAGTTCCAAGCTCGGAAATTGAGCAACAGCTCTGCAAGCTGCTCTCGCTCCTCAAGATGTCTCAGAAGAGGGCGGTGCTTGCCAGGCATCTGTCCGGGGGATACCGGCGCAAGCTGTCCATTGGAATTGCCCTCGTCGGGAACTCAAAGGTGACGCTGTGTCGTATTAACTCCGCTCGTTTTCGAGTGATTTTCCTCGTTTCTCGTAAGGCCGAACTCTTCCCCTCCAATGGGCAAGCCGTGGGAAGTGTTCAGCTACTCTATTTTTTCTCGCACTCGGCGCCAAAGCTCGCCCAACATTATGTGGCGGCGGCAGTAATTTGAAATTGTGTGAGGTCGAGCGGTCTCAGCGATGCAATGAACATTACGTTGACACAAAAACAGCCCCTCGCGCCTATTTACACAAAATGTGTTTTATCGGCTGAATTCTGAAAAAACCATTATGAAGAACCGTCACGAAGAGCAGCCACGAAGTACTGTGACATCATGACATCATGTGACACCGTGATGTCACGTTACATCATGACGTCACCTAAACTGTGACGTGACGGCATAAAGTCACGTTACTCTATGATCTCAAGGTCACAGAGTAACGTGGTCACAGGTGTGTTCAACGAAGAGTCCTTATACGATGATGCCTTGTTTAAGGTTGTACCCATGAGACCGCAGTCTTAAGTTAAAACCCAGAAGCATTGCGATCAAAAAAGAGGCCGTGTTTTCAAAATACAAGGCCCACGTTGAGTGTCTAATGAACTAGGCATACAACGAACATTAAGCACGGATCGAGTCTTCTACAAAGTGTTTTCTTTGTTAGCGCAGGTGGTCATCCTAGACGAGCCCACGGCGGGAATGGACCCAGCGGCCCGTCGAGAAATATGGGACCTCCTTATACTTGAAAAGGCCAACAGGACGATCCTCCTCACGACCCATGCCATGGAAGAAGCGGATGCCATCGGAGATCGCATCGCCATCATGGCTAACGGCGTCATTCAGTGCTGCGGTACCTCGTTCTTTCTCAAGAAAAATCTCGGTATGTCATACACGTCTTTTCTTTTCTTTTTTTTTCTTCTTTGTTTAAGCACTTAATGTCGTCATTAACACAGTGCCATTGTTGACAGTTCTTCCTAACGCCAACTGACAATAGAAACCCGAAACTTTGGAGACGTGCTTTGTTGACTGCATCACTCCGTTAACCGCAAAAAAAGATACCAAATCCACAACAAAGCTGTTTTTCTTTTATTTTTTGAAGACAGGAAAAAGGGGGGGGGGGGGGGGGGGAGGGGGGCGGCGCAACAGGTCGTTTAACGTATTATAAAACTTCCTAGAAGTAGGTTATGTTGAGGTTTTCGTGCAAGTTTAGCCAGTTTCGAACGAAAACTGCAGATTCACCCTTACAAGCTAAAGAGTTAAGTACTTCAATCTAACTAAACACTAATTTTTCGGAACGTAATGCACCTCTATAAATATACTATTCGGTAGTGGCACATACGACATCAATTTGCTGTTTGTTGCGGGTCATACTTTTCACGTGGAGATTTTTGCTAGCACTTTGCGAATCACATCGAAGATTGAATGGCACATGAAGTGTTCAAATGTTTTCCGACAAAACTGTTGTTGCTCCAGGAGCCGGTTATCACATGGTCATAGTGAAGAACCCGGTCTGCAATGTGCGCACCCTGCTCGAAGTGGTGGCGGCCTTCGCGCCCTCCGCTGAGATGGAAAGCAACGTGGGCACCGAACTGTCCCTCCGCATCTCGCGCTTCGACCAGCCTTTCTTCAAGCACCTGTTCAGCCACCTGGAAGACAACAAGGAGAAGCTCGGAATCTCCAGCTTTGGCGTCTCTGTCACCACGCTAGAAGAGGTTTTTCTCAGGTAGCCATTTTTATTTATTTTTATCCTTATTAACGGGGTCGCAGTCTGAAAGCGAATACACTCTTAAAAAAAGCCCATGCATCTACTTTCCCGCAGTTGTGACATTAAGCAGTGCAAGCGTGACGATTTGCATTGCTTAATGTCACAACTTTGACTGCGTTTTTTGGTCTAAAGTTTAAACACTTGTTTCGGCATCGTCATTCGCTGAGCTGCCTCCGTACGTTGCGGTGATTGGCCCTACGAGTGTTGTCCGGAAAAGTAGACGTGCGGGCTTTTTTTAGAGTGTGCGGACTTGCGCAAGCTTTTTACTGGGATATTTTGCTAAAAGCCATTCATCAATATTTATATGAAGTGCATATACTGACTATCTATCAATAACGAAACGGACATCTTCTGAGCCGTCTTGTCCTGTGTTGTAGTTAGTATTGCGACCTGTGTGCGTTCTTCTCTTCGGTTTCTTAATATGTGTCTTGGACAAAGTCCAACTCGTCGTTATTTAAAACAAAAATGCAATTAAGGCTCGCTAAAAGCCAAAAACTTGTATGCCGCAGTCTTTGTTAAACACGGGCAGAACATGAGAGCGTATGATTTTACCCGGGGTTAATTTCTGCATAGTTCCGGCAGAATGTATAAGTAGGAGTTACTTCCACCGTAATATAGCGGTCACGTCACAAACTAACATAAAATATGACGCTGTGTTTAGAATTTGTGAGAATTGTTTCTGCGACATCTAAAAAACAAAACCATATATAATATATTAGCTCAAAAATATCCCACTTTATGACTTTATTTGTAATAGCGCATAGAACAAAATAAAAGAACCAAAGTGTCTTCTTCCGGATACCTTAAATTTATGTCCTTTCAATTAATTTTTTATAAACTATATTAAAACAATAAACCACTCGTTGATAGGTGTTTAATTAACAAGTGACATTCCACTTATCTCATTTTTTGTGAGCCTATAGTAAAACATCCTAAGAATCTGCTGTGGACTATAACTCAAACCGTCTCCTCAACAGGAAACAACACGATGGGCAGGGATACTTTTACTCGCTCGTTCCCAGCAGTTTACACATTTCGGGATAAGACTTTGCTTTTCTCTTCAATTTTCTACGACGTATCTCGAGACTTTTCGCCAGCTCGTGACGTCGATCTCATTCTGCAGAGTTGGCGACTACGCTGTCCAGGCCATGCGCGAACTTCGAAACATGACAGAGGATGGCCAACTTCAAAATTCGGCCGCAAGTAAGTTCTCAGCAAGTGTCCCGCTAAGGAGCGTTTCGTTGCCGTGACTAGCGCGCCAGAAGCTATATTACAGGCGTTCCTTGTAATTCTCGAGTGCAATTAAGTGTTCCCTATACGCCGTGTCACGTCGAGACCGACCGCGCAGCGATCGCCCAAATCCGACGGAGCCAATCGACCAGTCAAAAGTGCCTCGTCACGGTTCTCGTCGTTTTTGTTCATTCACTATCACCGGCTAAACAAATTTTGCGCAGAAAACACGCAAGATCACGACAAATTCGCTGTTTGTGGTTGGGTTAAACGCGGCAATGGCCAACTATCAAGGACAACGAGAGTCATGACGGTGCAATTTTGGCGCTGATTGACGTTGGCTTCAGTCGGACTTAATGTGAAGCGAAACATAGTTTGTCTTGTCTCGAGCTTATCTTGAGCTTGTCTTGAGTCTAGGCCAACGTTACTAAAACCCTCCGTTGGAAAACTGCCATAGAGACCTATCTGAAAAAGTGGCCCCGATCTGTCCTCGAGAACCGAGCTAATGACGAACACAACGCCACCATTTCTCCCGCAGCGGCCACTCGAGAAACTGTACGCTACTTCTATTTTGGCTTTAATCGGCCATTTTGGAGCCAAAACAGATGCAGCGGAAGAGGTTACAGGGGTGCCACCCCCGCCTCCTCAGCGGACGCGCCGCGACTTCCTACATAGGCCGGGACGCGCTACCTGAAAGCCCCGCTGAGGCATGGTTGTATAAAAACAATATGAATTCTGCCGCGAAACCCTGCAACCTAAAGATTTTAAAAACATCACGCGCCCATCATTTAGTACTAAACTCAAATCAATTTCATACAAAAAGACTCCTTTCCGTTTGTTTTTACGCAAAAACATGCTTTCTAAAAGCTCAAGGTGACCACAGTACTGACAAATGATAAAGAGTGGCGCTGTTGTCGTATTTAGCTCGGTCTCGGTGGACGAGAGCGGCCCAAGTTTCGACGGCGAGTTTCCCAACTGAGTGTTCTAGTAACGTTGGTCTAGGCCTACAAGATTCCTTCCGCCTCCCAGCCAATATGAGTCATCAAAAACGCCATATTTACGAAGGTGGGCGGGTAGCATTGAATTGTGCGCGATCTTTAGAAATGGCTTTCATTATTAGCCCCGAAACAAGACAAACCGGCGCTGGATCAATCTGTTCTTCGACAGTAGCAGTTGCCCCGACTGATACGCGGGGAAGACTTCGACGGAGAAATAGGCGGAGTGAGCGAGGGTGTGTGCATAGGAAACACGTCTCCATTCATATACCTCTCGAGATTCGTCACCGGCGGACGCTGGTGAAGCTCACTAAATCCGACAGTAAAAACCGATTGTACGATTATATGCGTGCAAACCAATAAGGCAAATAGGGGAACGAGTTCACCAAAACGAACACGTACGCGCCTAAGTTTTTAAGCATAAAAGGGGAGTCTTGAAATCGCTTATGGGACGCTAAAGACACAAATCGGAGACGGACGTTTCATTCACCGTGCCCTGTGAAAAATAGTGTCGTGGCTGGTTCTTCATTGTGCATGGTTTATATTATTTTTGTTTGTGCGAATAACGGTATACCACTAGGAAGCCCATGCCAAATGGCGCACGTTTGGGTGTCCTGAAGCAATATACGTGTATCAATATATTTTATGCATCCAAGGACTATTTTTAGTTAGGAAAACACCAACGTAATCATTGAAATGCTCCCGTGAAGCCCAGTTCAATTTGATTGGTGTGGATGACAGAAGAACGAAAATGTTAACGTTAACGAATGTTCTAGCCCGTTACACTTCCAAATGGAGAAGACGAAGAAAGATATAGTAGCGAGAGAGCCAATTTCGATGCTGATTAAAGATATGATGACGATGATGCCAAAACTCACACAAACGCACACACACACACACACACACACACACACATACTCTCGCGCGCACAAGTACACGCATACGCACAAAGACACATATACAATTTCGCGCTGAGAGCCCGCGAAGCAAGCAAGGAACAGTGTCAGAATCTTGTGTGCCTCTGCAAATTGATTCGCTCTGCTCCAGGAGCCAAGGATTTTTGTAACAATCAAGGGTCGTGCCTCTCTTCAGCTTAATTCGCCTCGCAGAGCCTGTCGTTCATTATTCTCCTCGCAGGCCAGCTCATCGGCATCCTCAACTCCTTCATGCCGGCCAGCGGTTCCTCCGATGAATCTGGAGAAAAGTCTCCGACCAACACCGGCTTCCGACTCTTCGTTCAGCAGACCTGGGCGCTGCTCACGATGAACATGCTGAACAGCGTGCGCAACGTCCAACTCACCGTCTCGCAGCTCCTGGTGCCCCTCGCCGTTCTCAGCTTCACGCTCACCTGGATCGACCTGCTTCCCAAGGTGTACATCCCGAGCGCACGGCTCCTGGACATCAACCGCATCCACTGGAGCACCGTGCCGTACTCGTTCCGCGGAAACAAGTCGAGGTCCCTGATCGAAGCCTTTAAGAATCAGCTTGACTCGTATAGGGTACGTGCATACGGTTTCAAGCTACGGTTACCTCCTTGGCAATCTCGGTCGTCATGGAGGATTCTTGACAGCTTGAACAGACGCCGTTCGGAACCGATTCACGTTGTCAGCGTTAGTGAAATGGTGAAAACGCTCCATGCTGTCAGTCGGATGCAGCTGAAAGTGTAACATACGATTTATTGGGGAGTGCACTTACGGTCACTATATTTTTGTTCTAACAGTTCTGGAGTGTCTACTTTCCAGCATAGCGCTTGAAAAGACAATTTACGTAAGCTGTGGCGCTGCGCATGTTGAAAAGTCATGCTCTGCTCCACAGCGCAGACTCTCAGTTTTTCACTCCTGAACAGATTGTGAATCTTGTCCACGTAAGCGAATAAAGGTTATGTGGGCAAAGCTTCATCCGTAGATGCCATCAGTTAACTCCACCAGGTGCTTTTCAGAAAAGTAGAGGCGCTAGATTCGTTAGAGTGCGGCTGCTGAATGTGAACCTTCATGAGGGTCACTTAAAGCCACGGTATTTTCCCTGCAATTGCGTGCTGGCGTTATCAATCGACGTTTTCAGCACATGTCCACACTGGATAGTCTCCATAGCGTGGTACACTACCTCATCGGGTAAAAGACGTAAACAAATGCGAGGAAAGAAAATATCATATGGCATCTAAAAACGTGTCTGCAAAGTGTCCTTAAATAAATGGCCGTGAATATTCAGCCGTGAACATTCTTCCCCTAAGACATGCAGACAGAAAATGATCGCGTCTGCATATGAAGGAAGATCCTTTGGTGGATACTTAGGAAATGCGTTAGCATTACCCTAGAGAAACGCTAACGCTGAGCCCTTCACTTTCTGTTTGGCTTTCTCTTTTGGTTTTCACTTTTGCTTCCTCTATTTATTTATTTTTTCTGCCTCTTTGGTCAGAGTTAGCGTTTCCCAAAGAGGAACGTGTGTGGCGTTTCCCAAGGGCACGGTGGAAGAAACATATTTAGGTGATGCCACTCGCCGTTCTTACCGCGGGGAGAGAGCGAACAGATCGTGTTCGGAGCTAGCCTCGAACCAGAAATAGTTAGTTCCGCGCCGCCGCGGAGGGCGCTCCGGTATGGGGTCCCTCTTCGGCGGCCTCGGTGTCGGCGGCGTAGCGTGCTCGCCTTTTTCGCGGTGTGGTGCTGTGGTGGTGGTGTGTGGCCAGTGGCTGGCCTCATATTTTGCTTTGGTGCTGTGTCGATCACAGGTGCCACCATCGTGCACGAAGCTGAGCCCTAACCGGAAGAAGAAGAAGCCACGCTATAAAGATGGGAAAAAAGTATTTCGTTCCCAACTGCAATTCGGGGTACCGGAACTGTGCAAAGCGAGTGCCCTTGTTTGAAGCTTTATCGAATGACGCTCACTTGGAGCAGTGGTAGAAGAAACACCGGTTGGGGGGCACGCCATACTTGGCGCCATCTACTCCCGTGCGAGTGAAGCGCGCTCGGTGCCCGAACAAAATGCGGTCGCCGCGTCGAACGGAGAGTCATCACCTAAATGTGTTTCTTCCACCGTGCCCAAGAGTCGTGCTAACGCATTTCCTGAGTATCCACCGGTGGATTTTCCTCTAATTTTTTTGCCGCCTGCTTGTACCAGCGCTAGTACTTGGTTTACACTGATTTTGTAGCACAAACCGAGGCATACGCGCTCCTCACACCTGCAAGTTCGGACTCGACCCAGCCTCCGGGCGCGCGTTGGCTTTCGGCCCCGTGACGCCTTCTCCCTCTTGCCTTCGTCCTTCACTACTCTCCTCCTCTCTACGCGGCGAGCTTCCCTTTCCACTGTTTTGTCCACAGACAGACGCCGTCAGCTTTGCTCTGTCATATAGGTACTAATGCCAACGCATTAATAAGTCGGAAGTGGTAAGGCTTAGAAACAGTTCACGCGGAAGTGTCATCCACCTCCAGTGGTTTAGTCCTCATGTTTCATGTGCACATTGTCAAAACGAATATCGACTTTTTTTTTTCTCGTCGTTTTTATTTTCGGAACTTCCTAAATGATCTCAGTGATGCAAGAATATTCTTTTAGCTCGAAGAAAATGCTTTATTTTCTTATATACCTCCAGCGTTCTTGTAGAAACATGTTTGTCCACAAACGCTATAGCACTCTTATACTCCATTCACCCCTAAGCTGAGACTTCCGTGGAAGGTACTTCCTCGTGCGACCCCGCATACGCCTCTCTTTTGCCACGTCATTGCGCTCCCACTCATACCCACGCGCAGAGAGCCGGGTCAGCTGATAAGAGGGAGGCGGCTGATTGGTCCGGCGGCCACGCACTCGTACCGTAGTCTGAACATAAGGGTGAACGGAGCAAGCACGGCGTGGTGTCTATGTTGCTGTAAAGCACATTCAACTTGTCTGAACCATAAAAATATGTACTGGCTAGTTTCCTTGTCACCGTAGAATCGGTAAACGAACTGCCCAATTGCACAAAATCTGACTCAATGTCTGGAAGCCGCTGACAGAAAATCATATATCCTTCTATAAAAATAACACGAAGACATCGAGGACTCGTCGCAATCGGGACACTACCAAAACTATTCGAAACACCATACAAAGGTAATCTGCTTTTAGAGCGCAGCTCTTAGCGCCCGTTTCGGCGTCGGCGTAACCGCGTGGTGCATGATGGGTACATCTCCCCGCTAAATTTAGCTGAAAAAGATTTCCCGCTGGATCTAGCGGAAAAAAACTCCCCACCAAATTGAGCGGAAGATTTTCGCCGCCAAATTTAGCGGGAAATTTTTTTCGCCAAATTCAGCGGAAAATTTTTCCCTAAATGGGAGGCGAGGAGGAGAGGAAGAGGGGCATGGCCCCCTCTCCGTACCTTCCCCTCCTCCTCCTCAACAGCTGCGCTCTAGTTCGGCGTTACAGGGAGCTGTAAACTGCATTCATTTTTTATATCAATCAATAGCTGCCACTGACGATCCTGTCTCTAGGTGATGGCGCTTCCGGTGGAGGACAACATGAACGGCTACCTGTTGGATCAGACCCTGGGGGATAGCAGCGACTTCATGTTGAACACACTCATCGCGATGGACTCTATGGACGAAGCTACGGCCGGACGCGTGGTCCACCTCTTCTTCAACAACCAAATGTTTCACACTCCTGCCATAGCCCTAATGGCGTACCAGCGGGCTCTGCTGCACGAGACCTTGGCAAACTCAAGCGTGAAACTGGAGATCATCAACCATCCTTTTCCTAGGGTTGTTGAAGAGAAGGTAAATCAAAACTTGCTTCGTTATCTCGTCATTTTGGTACTACAGCATATAAGCTAACGCTTTCAGGGCACTTTAGACGGCCTGCAAAAATCGGTTTTTCAGCGTATCGCGTTGCGATTTACTACACAATATGTTTCTGTTGTTGTCGGTTTTGTGCTGTTCGAGGAAGTTTGCAGTAAAAAAACTTCAAGAAATGCACTTACTTCATTCAAAATGAAAAAAAAAAAATAAAAAAAACAAGCCTCTTATGGGCAACCTACTCCACCACTTCGCAAACGATGCACGCACAGTGGGAAGTGCTCCCAAAAGATGGCGTGCGCCGCTTCGATTCTATGGTCGATTTGGGTTATGAGAGCAGACGATCCCGCAAAAGTGCCCGAACCGACCGGCTCTTCTTCTACGCGGCGCAAGCTATCTGCCGGCAGCACTTCTCACTACGCTTGCGCCGTCTCGGAAGTGACGGCGTAGATTGCCTAAATTTCCTTCTTTTTTTTTTTTTTTTTTTTTACTTTTAACAAAATTATTTTTTACGGGAACTTTTTACCATCTGTTTGCACCTCTGTAGTGAATTGCAGCGTGATACGTTGAGAAACGAATTTTTGAGGGCCGTCTAAAGTGCCTTAAAGCATTCGCTGACATGATGAATATTGGTCTTCAGAATATATTCATTTGAGCGCTTCTGCTGGCGTTCAAACCCTTTATGCCCTTTCTGATCTGTACTAATGAGCACTGGCCATTTTGTTTCGTACGGATGAACAGACATCCCGGTGACTTTGTCTGTGTGAACAAGGACTGATTGTTTAGAGCCGACTCCGAGCGCCAATATTTCTAAATATACTCTTTAAGGAGCCGTCTAACGACATTGGGTGGGAATCTCTTTTTCATTTTGCACAAGCTTATTTACACTAGCGGGAATCAAGTATGCTGCCACGCAATGCCACGCTACCAAGAAGCTTCTGTGTCAATGCATAATTTCAAGAATAAAAGCGGACGTTTTATTTCAGTCTTCCACTCGCAAAGCTTGATGACGTAGTTGTGGGGATCGCATTGTTGTCATTGTCAACAATGCGATTCCGAGGATCTTGTCTCCAAGCTTTGCAATCCCCGCGGTGACGATATTTAAATGCGGCTCATAAGGTGGACACGAGCACTGCGTGAGCATTTAAATTGAACTCGTGACATTCAATGCCTCGACATGCACTCGGGTAGTGGCTCGTGTTCAATCGCTGCGATGGAAACAGTAGCCGATCCTTAACATTGTGTAGAAATCAGCGCGTGCCCTGCAGCTTTGTGATTTGCCAGCCTGAGTGCGTGGCTATGATCACTACTGGCGTCATATAATTGGCATCAGCTGACTTGGCTCCTTGTTCTAGCTGTGAGTTGAAGGTATGAACGCTGCCGATTTTATCCTGTGTTTCATGGATAATATGTGTTTTATAGGAAATGTATGTTTCATAGTAAATGTGTGTCTCATAGGTAAAGTGTGTATCATTGGTAACGAATGCAAAGGAAGAATTCTGAGCGGTATCTACTGCAATTAAGAAAATTGCTGCATCACCGCTTTAAGACCTGAGCTCCAATCTCTTGACATTGACTTCCAAGATGTGTCCCTCTTTTTGCTCCTGCTCAGGCCAACAAACTGCTCACGATGCATCGAGAAAGCTTCCAAATCGGCCACCAGGCGGTCTTTGGCACGTCATTCCTGGTCTCCAGCTTCGCCATCTTCTTAGTCATCGATCACGTGAGCGGATCGCGTCACCTGCAACGAATTTCCGGGCTCAACATGGCCGCTTACTGGATAGCCAACCTCACCTGGAGCATGTTCATCTACTTGCTGTCCACCGCCATCGTCATCGCTACCCTGATCTTCTCCAGAGTGCCAGGCTTTGCCGACGGCAAGGAACAGGGTGAGTCTAACATTGCTTAAGATTGGGCTAGTTGGTTATTCATGCTCTGATTAAACTGCGCTGCGAACGGATTACAAATAACGACACCGAAACGAGAAAAACAAACGCGACAAATAGTCAGTCAATTTGCCTCATTCAAATACTTCGAAGTTTCGAGCAAACCCGTTGAGGTCCTCGCATAGGACAACATGCTGCTACTCTCACCGGAATAAAAGTAGGCAAGTTTTAAAGTTTGTATTGTTATCTTTAAATTTGCATTATTTTATGCGCTGCTATCTGATTTTTGTGCTGCATAGCTTAGACAATAAAGTACGTGTCTTGTGTTCACACTTTGTGTTTTGCTATTCATTTCTCGGTGTTCTTATCGTCTAGCGGCTCCATCTCTTTGGCAGTGAAGCGATAATAGGGTGCTCAGGACTCACCCCGCCCCGCTTTTCTTACGTTATCAGTGACTGTACAAGCCAGTGCTTGTGCCCAAGTTAAAGAATTTCACGTCCCCTTCCAGTGGTCATCTTCCTCGTGTTCTTCTACTACGGCTGCTCGGCGCTGCCGCTGGTTGCAGCAGCGTCCTTCATATTTCACTCCCACTCCTCTGCGTGCGTTAGGATTGGCACAGTGAATTTTGCCATAGGTAAGCGTTAAACAGTAAACAACGCCAACACTTCCCATGGTTGTAAGTAGCGTGTTCCCTGGCATAAAATCAACCGTGCGAATCCAGTAAAGACAGTCAGGAATTTTATAAAGTAAAATAGTAGTGGGTGCCCAATTAATTTTCTATGAACCAAATACAAGTTTCTTGTTTCTTCTTTTCAGAACTTAACTTTTTCTTAGTTTACTTTCTAAAAATGTCTGCTTTCTCAAATGTCAACTTTTTGTTTCCGGAAATAAATAAAATTAATAATCCAAAACAAATTTTCAGCCAAATACCTTCTTTTTCTATTTTGCGTTTAAACGGGAAAGGAATCCCAGAGACCTGGGGCCCGAGGCTCATCCTACACAAAGTTAAGACCGAAGTCAACGGAGCTCAAAGCAGGTTCAACTCTCTCGACGATGACACCGCGGTTTTGTCGCCAAAGTCTAATCGGTGTGCTCGCCACACTTCTTCAACTTTGTATTTGACGAGTCTAGTGCCTCTGGTTGGGTTCATGCGACCGGTGCTTCAGAAATTAAAAAAAAAAACAAAAAAACTTAGCTTATCTACCGATCACCTTGGTGTACATACCTCTGACCGTCTAGGATTGAACATTCGCTACTAGGATGTCAAACACTCCTATAATTTAGAGTCCATGAAAGTGTGATAATCTATTAAACCTTAGTGAGGCAAAACGACCCATGTCCTCGTTATTTAAAATTCGACGACTAGACTATAAAATAGTCATTTCCGATACCGTATTGCTATACAAGCTGGGACTGCAAAGGAGTCGAGGAACGACTCCGTTCCAGAGTTGTTGACTGGCCTCCGGTTAGAGACGTAAAAAAATATGACTGCGGCCTTCTCGATGACGTGTTGTTCCAGTTCGTTACTTTAAACAGAATGTCAAACCTACGAAAAAAACAAAAGTACTCCAGTTATGCTGCGCGCTTTACAGGTCTCTCGAGCCTCGTTCTGGTAGCTCTGCTAGAGTGGCAAAACGAGAAACACTTCATGGACCTTGCGACCAGCATCGACAGCGTAGTCACGGCCTTGGCGCCCATGTACGGTCTCGGTCGCGCCATCAGCACTCTGTACCGGAACACCCACTTCAACCTAGTGTGCAACGACGCGTCCACCCAGAACGTGATCTGTGAAATAAACCCGGACAGGGCCCGGTACTGCTGCAAAGGTGAATGATGAGTCGACGTGATTCGATCGCTCGATGAACCACGTGTACCATGGCCATCGACCTATAGTTTTGCAAAACTTGATGTTTGGTTTATTGGTTCATGGTACTGAGTAAACTTTTTTGTGCAAAAACAGAAGACGAGCACGAAGAAGCGGGCAAGGACAAGCGTTTGTCCTTGTCCCCTCCTTCGTGTTCGTCCTCTGTGTTTATGCATACAAGTTTACTCAGTACCACAAGCAGTGTTTCGCGCTTTCGGTTCATACCAATAAACCTCCAAAAATTACCTCCGAAGCGGTTTTATTGAATTGGGAAAGAACCGAAAAACCCCGGATAGGAGCTGTCTTCGAATAAATAAAAGCCAAGCTTCACGCAAGGACACCTTTACCGACAGTTGTCTTGGCCCGAAGCACAGCCGCTCCCCCCCCCCCCCCCCCCCCCCCCCCCAGAGCCGTATATTGGGAGAGTCTGGCCAGTAGGCGTGGCGACGAAGGAGCTGGAGAGGGAGGAGAGCGCCGAAGGAGCGAGAGAGGAAGGAGGGAGCAAAAAGGAAAAGAGGAAACGACCGCCATTTTGACGCAACACGCGTTCGGCGTCGAGCAGTCTTGAGGCTATGCGTCGATCATCTGCTACGGGCCGACTTCTTTTTCGCCTGAATGAACGTTTGCGGGCAAACGAAAAAAACTTAATTCACTCGCTTTTTAACCCACCGAAGAATAACACTGTATCACTTTCTTGCCAGGGTCAGCAAAATAAAAGGAAAGAAGCGAAATTTGGATGTCGATCCCATGCATTCCTTCGGGCGAATGAATGAAAATGGCGGCCCTCACCGCACAGCTGAGAGCAGCCGGGAGTTCGCGCGCATGCTCTCGCATCTCTCACTCTGCGCCGCGGACTGATTGGCTCACTCGGGAGAGGGGCGTCACGGCGGCGAGATCATAAACTAGCCAAGCTCTCCCAATATACGGCTCATCCCCCCCCCCCCTTTTTTTTTTCTGAACTGGCAGTAAGGGTGTTCCTTTTCTCGGCGACCACACCCTGCATCTCGTTTTCTTCTCTTATTGGTTCCGAAACGGTTTCTAAGTAGTAGTCTGTGTCCTGTATTGTTCGACATAAATCCCAATGAACGAGTATTATTTTTCTTGTGCGCATTAAAAATAGACAGAAAAACACACGCCCGATATTAAGAGACAAATAAAACCCCGAAAACAAGCAAATCTAATTATTAGCAATGTCCAACCCTCTTCATGTTACTGCCAAGGGCTTGAGTCATTTACCAGGTTCATGAACATAGACCATACGTCGGGTCTGATGCTCTTCAGATTACTGCTAAAGGCCTTAGTTGTTTACCAGGTCCATGGCCATAGACCATGAGTCTACTAATATCCTCTCCAGGTCACTGCCAGAGGCTTGAATTTTTCACCAAGTCTATACATAGCCATAGACTATATGTCTTGTCCGATGTTCTTCAGATTACTGCCAGAGGCTTTAGTCCTTTACAAGGTCCAGGGATATAGACCATAAGTCTTGTCCAATCCTCTTCAAGTCAGTGGCTTGAATCTTTTAACAAGCCCATAATTCTAGACCCTAGCTCTTGTCCGATCCTTTTAAGGTTACTACCAGTGACTTGAGTCCTTTATCAGGTTCATGGCCATTGACCATTAGTCTTGTCGAATTTTCTTCAGATTACTGCCAGGGGCTTAAGTGCATCAACTGGCAGCCGGACATCTTTGACTGGGGTTCACTGCACATATCTTGGGCCATCCTCTCGTTCGGTGTCCACGCCATACTGGGGACTCTGGTCCTGTGGATGTTTGAGAAGAACGCGTCGTACTTTGTTGAGAGGCTCTCCATCAGCAGGATACAGACGACCTCGCATAGCGACCAGGTGGAGACGGAGGTACGCTTCGTGACGAGGCCCGCCCACGGTGATTTTTTTTTTTCATTTTAATTGCGTAAACGTGTTCGCCGTTGGCGTCGTTTTATTTTGTGTGAACTGAACGCACTAAAGTAACTAAGATTGCTTTGCCAGCTCGCTCTCATTACATGCTAATGATGAATGACAAGGGCTACTTGTTTTTATCGTAGTAAGATTTAAATACAAGAAATCCTATTTAAAAATCTCATTTGTATGAGAAATTTCAGTGTCCAATAAACACATATGAATCATACAAGATTTATAAGAACATATACGAACCATATAAGAGCTATATAAGAGCTATGTAAGATATATAAGAACCATATAAGAAACTTGTGAGAAGCTTTTTTATGTTTCTTATATGGTTATTATATGGTTATTATATGTTCTTATATAGCTGTTATGTGGTACTTATGTCTTCTCATATATCTTGCATGATTCGTATGTGTTTATTGGACACAAGAAATGTCTCATACAAATGGCTTTTTCACTAAGGAACGGGTGTGTCCAAGCCTGCTTTACAGCAACAACGTGTAATAACTCCCTTTTCACTTACAAATAAATCAGTATCAATGCGTTTTGTGTTTCCAAAGTGTAAAATTGTGCACACATTTTGTGGTCAGTCTATAATTCAATATTATGCTGTGATTTTCCTATCAAGTCACTTCGTAGTTGCAACATTTTTATCGCTGCCGTTATTGAGCTCCAAAAGCAAACTTCTGACAAACCAAAATGTGTTAAAAATATGGCTTTATTATTTTACAAAATCTGGCAGAACACGAGTGGCATATCACAATATAAAATTGGTACTTTTTTTTTAATAAAAAGGATTCCAAGAGTGTCCTTCAAATTTCAGTCCTTAATTTCTGAAAAGCCACGTCTTCGCGCGCATTCCCGAAAAGCTGCCTTTTCTCTGGCGACAAATGGAACCTTGTTTTAACAAGTACGTCAAGGCAAACCTGCCACTATTGGGAACAAAACAGCCGGCGTAATCCAAATTAATTTACAGCTGTGACATTCGCCAGAGACTGTTTATAAACACTGTTAAGACACTGCCTTTAAGAAAAAACACGTTTACCCACATCATGTGTAGCACTGCGGATGCGCAGAAACCAGATTTGTGTGAGGTAAAGAGTCCGCGCATGCGCATACAAACAGCACCGCCACCGTAGCCGTCTTGCGTTTGTCTATAAGATTTTATTTCTTCTACACTTAATTAAGCAGGGGCAGTGCTTCAAGCTCAAGCATCGCAGCTCCTCTTACTGGCCCATACAGCATAAGCTGAAATACACGATCTGGACATTTACTATGCCTACAGGTACCACAAGCTCAGCTATTCCTCAAACTGTCAAAGATTCCATAGGCTAAGACTTAAGCTTCACGTTCCAAGTCAAGATTAAACCAATAATCCTTGAAAAACTGCCAAAAAAGCTGAAGAAACACGGAGGGCCGTTTCAGCTCAAACTCTCCGCGGTAGTACTCGGAATTTAACACGCTATGACATCGGTATATTTTTCTCTTGGCATCTGCGTCACCAGGTTCTGGAGGACGACAACGTCGCCGAAGAGAGGTGCCGCATCATCACGACTCCCATCGAAGAACTGTCTGCGAAGGACATTCTCGTGATGCGGGAGCTGTGTCGCTCTTACGGCAACACGAAGGCCGTCAACGACCTGTCCCTGGGTATCCGGCGCGGCGAGTGCTTCGGTCTTCTGGGCATCAACGGCGCCGGGAAGACGACCACCTTCAAGATGCTCACGGGAACCATCAAGGTGACCGCGGGAGACGCCTTCGTGGACGGCTACAGCGTCGTCCACAAGCCCCGAGAGGTACGCTGTCGCCTCTTGGTTAACGCATACGAACTTTAAAAGCTGGGTCAAATATTTGCACTTGAGTGTAACTCACTGCATTCATGCTCCTTGGGTTCCACTACAAGAGGTTACGGGGACCTCGGTTGCGATAGCAACCATCTCGTCGTATGCTGTCATAGGAGATTACAACGTAATCGGTATAACAAAAAATGAAATGTCCGAACCAGCTTTTTTAATGCGGGTTCCAATTCTTTTTTTTTTGTCTTAGTTGATTTTTTTTATTAAGTTACTGGACATTCGCAATTCGCAACTTATGAAAAATTTCTCTTTTCATGCAGTTCGAAGTGATGTGCTACTCTTTATCGCACGAGAACAAATACGTACTTTTTGAGAAGCCATATACAAGCTTTCATTACCCTTTTCTTCAATATAGATTAGGAGTAAGTCTAGTTATACTGTCTATCGTTTGTTAAACTGACATAATGCTTGCAACTAAAAGCTATGGGCTAAAAATGAAAAAGAAATTAACACGCAAGCGCAATATTAACATTCGGTTTAAAAGCACCCTGAAATCTAAAGTGTAATACGGTTCGCTCAGATGAAAAATCTAACTCCTATCGGACTGTAATTGCTTTTATAGTAGTTAGATATCCCAAGAAAATGATCAAGGTCCAGCGTATTTTATGACCTCGACTTTAGAGGCACAAATCAATTAGTAAACTTTAGGCTTGTTCTGTAGTTCCGCATAATGCTGAATGTTCGGTGGGGACAACTTTTTCAGCTTCAGCGATGCTGCAGTATCGTGAACTAATCTGTTTCTCTCAAAACTTTCAAAAGACGAAACACATCAATGAAATTTCTCTTAGTTCCAAAAAAAAAAAAAAGATAACCTCTCCGCAGTTGAACTTTTGCTCCATGGACATAGGACATCCGGCAGAGGAGAGCTTAAACCTATTGCGAGAAAGAAGAAACCAGTGAAGGGGTTTTCAGCCAGGCTGAAAGGACAAGTGTGCTTGGATTTGAAAGGGACTCGAAGTACTCAAAAGAGGTCACGTGGTTTATGGGCCGCCTTTGCAATAAAAGCTCCGAAGAGGAGGTGAAAAGTGTCGATCGTCTACAAGCGTCTTTAAGCTTTGATTAGCCTCTCCGTTCGCTGTCCTCCTTGCCACACGACAACACGCGCACGCGCACCAGCAATCAATCTGAACAGCGGTTGCTCCCTCTCTCAAACATAGGCTCTCTAGCAAATACTCTTTTTCGTCCTCATGTACGATGTAAGGAGAGTTATTAGCTCCTGGGCGTTCTTAGCACAGGCCAATGGCTAATATAGCATGTAAACTAACGCTTTTAAGGCACTTTAGGCGGCCCGCGAAAATCATTTTCTCAGAGCATCCGGTCGCAATTTACCACGGAGGTGCAAGCAGGTGGTACAAGTTTGCAGTGAAAAAATCAAGAAATGAACTTACTTCGTTCAAAGGAATAAAAGAGCACAAACCTGTTCTAGGCCATCTATGCCGCCACTTCGCAGTCTATGCACGCGTAGGGAGAAGTGCTGCGCGCAGATGGCGTGCGCCGCGTCGAGGGAGCACCAGCCGATTCTGGTTCTTTTGCGGGATCCTCTGCTATCATAATCAGAATTGGCCGACGCTCCCTCAACGCGGCGTAAGCCATCTGTCGGTAGCACATCTCCCTACGCGTGCATCGTCTGCGAAGTGGCGCCTTAGACTGCCCGGAACAGGTCTCTGTTTTGTTTCTTTTGAACGAGGTAAGTTCATTTCTTTTTAAAGCAGGGGTGCAGCCGAGCTGGTTGAGAATTTACTTTATTTTAACCCTGGATGGTGGGGACAAGGAGGTCTGTGTCGTGCTGTCCTCCTTGTCCCCACTCTCTGGGGTTAAAATAATGTTCATTTCATGATTTTTTTCCCGTGTAAACTTCTACCGCCTACTTGCCCCCCTCTAGTAAATTGCAGCTCCATACGTTTTAGAGCGCAGTTCTTAAGCTCCCGTTTCCGGCTTGAGCGGCGTCGCCGTTGGCGTCGGCGTCGGCGTCGCCGTCGGCGTCCGCGTCGCCGTTGGCGTAACCGCGGTGACGTTTCGGCACCATGCCGAAACGCCGCCCTCGTGACGTTTCAGGGAGGGGGAGGGGAGGAGGAGGGGAGGGGAGGAACAGGAGGGGGAGGAGAAAAGAAGGGAAGAAGGAGGAGGGGAAGAGTAGCGGGAGGAGGGGGAGGAGGAGAAGGAGGAGGAGGGAGGAGGGGTAGAGGAGGAGGAGGCAGGAGGGGAGGAGGAGTAGCAGGGAGGATGACGTGGGGAGGGGTATACCCTCCCCTCAGTACCCTTCCCTCTTCCTCCTCAAGAGCTGCGCTCTAATTCGGCGTTATAGGAAGTTGTAAACGGCTGTCTTTTTTTTTTAAACCGATTTTTTGCGGGCCGTCTAAATTGCCCTAGATGCGTTAGTTTACATGCTGTAGATCGCGGTGTAAATGTTGATGGAAGCTACTAGACAGGAGACGTCATACGGATGGTTCGACCTCAAAATGTATGGGTGTATCTCATCGCAGGTGTCGAAGCGCATCGGCTACTGCCCTCAGCACGACGCCCTGCCGGAGTTCCTGACCGGACGCGAGGTGCTGACGCTTTACGCCCGCATCCGGGGCATCCCGGAGTCCCACATCCCGCTCGTGTGCACGGCGCTCGCCAAGCTGTTCTATTTCCACATGCACCTGGACAAGACGCTCAGGACGTACAGGTCGGATGACGTCACAACGCTATCATTTATAGTCGCTGAGAATTTAAAAGACGCGGGGCGTGCGGAGTTAACAAACATCTTATTATCGCCGCGCAGCCAACGAGGTTGCATTATTATCCGGCAGGAGCGCCAAGGTACAACTCACGAAGAAAAAAGTACGAACAAAATCAACCACGCCCTGTTTTTTTTTTTAAGGGGCCGTGCAATGATATCGGGTAGGAACGTTTCTCACTATACACAGTGTGCCTGGAGCGAGTCTCCGGCCGGTGTGTTTAGCGCCCTACGCCGCCCATACGTCAAAAGTTGTACCAAAGTGGCAACAAGCAAAGTGATAAAAACCGGAGTATCACGCTGTCCGATGTCGCGATCCTCGTAATTGGTCGCAGAAATGCTGTCGGAAATCACGAGCAAACTCGAGTGTCGCTGTCGTCGCGGCGTCCCAACTTCTGACTGCCGGAGCTTCCGTGGATTGTCACACTGGAGAGCAACCTGCTGTAGAACAGGCGTCTGCCACATCCACGACCGCCAGGATCGCGACCGGCGACTGCGTGATACTTCTATGACGTCATCAGGCGGAAATCAAGGAACCACTTTTTGGTACGTGGTAAACACACCAGCCGGAGACGCGTTCCAGGTACGTAACACTAGTGAGACCCACGGAGACTCAAACGTAACGCCCCTGACCAAGAAGCGTCTTCTTCGGAGTGGAATTCGGAGAATGGAAGCGGGCGTCGCCTTTCAGTCTCTCCTTCGCAAAACGTGGTGAACAAGTTGCGGGGTACAACGCCAACAGTGCGATTTCCGAGATTTCGACAGCCACCTCGGTGGCTCCGAGGCAAAGCGCCGGCCTACGGGTCCCCAGGTGGCGGGTTCGAATCCCGGCCGAGGTGTCCGCAGTCTGACGGAGGCCTATTGCGGAGAAAGCGCCGTGTAACCGAGCTTTAAGTTGCACGTTAAAAGATCCCCACGTGGTCTCAATTTATATGTTAAACACAGGCGGCACTTAATGGCTCCTGATCAGACGGCCTCTTGTCCTGGCTGCGAGTTGAGCGGTAAACGTTGTCGTTTTTTCTCGAATTTTTTTTCTGCAACTGCGGTTGCGGTGAAAAGAAAGAAAACGCGTTTTTACAAGTTATGTATGTCGAGGAATACTTCTACGCGATATTTACTGAACGTAAAAAAAAAAATTGTTGCATCGTATTTTTAAGCTTTTCGGTATCTATGATCACTGGCAGCTTAAAAAAGAAAAACACTGGTAATGGCGAGTCCCGATAATTTTATTATCGATAAACAGCCAATGAGATCGGGGTTTTTGGAAAGGTATTAACTGAAATCAACGCCGGAGAACCAATCAAAAAGCAAGAAGCGTAAACAATACAGGCCACGCTCGGTATTCGCCGAGCTTTCAGCGACTATTGGAAGCGCGCGACAAGACGGTAGCGCCACGGTGCGGCTCCTATAGCAGAAGCATTTTGCGTTTAACGCGACCAGACCACGGCATAAACGCCCAGTGTAGCAGTCAACCTTATAGTTTATAATTCATGTCAGCTGACCTCAGCTCAGCGCTATATGCATAACGTTCGGGGTCGCAGTAGGCGCTAACTTTTCTCTTCTTTTTCCTTTGATTTTTTTTTTTTGTCTTTTTTTTTTTTACGCGAGATTTAGAAATTGATATCGTAGATCCCCTCCAGGCGCAGGCGACAAGCGCCGGAATCATCTCTATCCCAGTATACGTCTACTCGATTCGCCAGCGAGCGTGCTGCCACTGGTGGCAGCCAAAGCGGAGCGGCGCGCCCCCTATAGGTGTTGCACGCTCCCAATGTGGTTTTACTCTAAGCATGGTGGCATCGGCTCGAGCGACACGAGTCATCCCGGCCGTTGTCTCCTCACAGCGGCGGCAACAAGCGCAAGGTGAGCACAGCGGTGGCGTTCGTGGGGAGCCCGTACCTCGTGATCCTGGACGAGCCGTCCACTGGCATGGACCCCGTGGCGAAGCGTTGCCTCTGGCGCACACTCGTCGGGCTCATGGGTTCCGGGCGCAGCATCATTCTCACCTCCCACAGGTGACAACGACGCTACATGGGTCTACAAACCTACGAAGTACACGAGTTGTGGACCGTACAGTCGCCACTCGATGCGGGAACACACGAGAAATTATTCAAAATGAAGTAATAGTCCAAACACAAACTAGATAGCGTAATTGGGCCTTTCGTGATTTTTTTCTTTTTTTTAGAATGCCATGGACATTTCATTCTGCGCAAAGCGTCAATCGAAAATAGGAAAATTATAGCATATATTTCGAATTTCAGTTTGCGTACCGAATATATCCCAGTATATACGACGTTAAAACTGCGGGATAGTACGCCCACGAAGTCTAGAGGACCAAAAACATTTATGACGTGATTTTTTTAACGCTACCCCCCCCCCCCCCTTTCCAACAAGTTCATCCTCCCGTCCGTCCTTTCGTCCGTCTGTGCATTTCCCGCTAAATTTAGCGGGGAAATCTATTTCACGTAACCTATACACGAATTCAGTTTCCCCGCTTCGCACAGACGAATTCAGTTTCTTCAACTTCGGCTTTACTTTCTCTGGAACACTCCTGCCGATAGCTCTCAATTTTTACACATGCAAAGTGTATAAGTTGCGATACCTCTCGGTCACGTTTGAACGTACCACGATTGCTTGTATGGGAGATAAATTTCGCTGTACACAAGCTGTCGCATTTTGCCCCGCGTCTCATTTTACCCCCCTTTACCCTATAAACCAGCTCTAAAAATCAACTTTATAAGCATTAGCCGCAAGCGTTAACCATAAGCATCATTGCTAAGAATAAGAACTGAGCATCGATTGAATAAATACTTTAACAACCAACCCTAACCAGCCCTAAAACCCAATTTGAACACTCCACAATCGGGGTTCTACGTTTGATGTGTTCTCTTTGGTAGCATGGAGGAGTGCGAGGCCATGTGCAGCAGCCTGGTGATCATGGTCAACGGCCGGTTCTGTTGCCTGGGCTCACCGCAGCACCTCAAGAACAAATTCGGCAGCGGTTACTCCATCATGATCAAGGTGTCCGGAGCCCGAATGTCTTGCACCTCCGCCACGTCCATGAGTTCGCTGAGCAGCGAGGAATCCATCGGTACCGAAGTGTTGGGTATCAAGGCATACATGGAGGTTGGCACCTCGCTTCGCAAAATGCGCTTCATCCTAGCGGACTTCACTTCCTGGATCCCCACTTTTCTGGCCCTTTGGGTATTTTTTTTAGAGCGCAGCTCTTAGGCGCCCGTTTCCGGCTTGAGCGGCGTCGCCGTCGGCGTCGGCGTAACCGCGCGGTGCATTATGGGCAAATTTTTCCGCTAAATTTGGCGGAAAAATTTTTCCCCTAAATGGGAGGCGAGCAGGAGAGAAGGAGGGGCATAGGCTCCTCTCAGTACCTTCCTCTTCTCCTCCTCAAGAGCTGCGCTCCAATTCGGCGTTACAGGGGATTGTAAACGTCTTTCATTTTTTTAGTAGTGATCGTTGGTCTAATGTGCTAACGCATCGTCGCTCGGAGCATGTGAAGCGAAAGCTCGCGCTGCAAAAACAAGGGATCCTTGGTTCAATCTCACCCCTGCCCGCTTCGATCTGGATGAGCATCGTATCGGCGTGAGGTCGTGCATCACTACTGCGTGATGCGCGTTAATACCCCAGGTTAGCACTCGTACCGCACTGGCTAAATTTTCTTCTCTTTCAGCGTAAACCAGTGCCACCACCTCAGCCCACATTCGGTGCATTTTTTTTTTAGTTTTCTATCTGCAGGCACTGAATTGCATGGCTTGTTTTACGGCGTATAAGCTCCACTGTAACCACCCTATATATAGTATATCGTGTACCCTGATAGACTTATGGGATCTCCTATTTCGCTGCGGTGTTCCCAGGCCCGACTGCCTAACATCGACCTGATCGGGGTGCATGACGGGCTGCTCGAGTACCACCTACCGGCCACGAGCATGACCTGGGCCGAAATCTTTGACATCATGGACCAGGTCAAATCCGTCTTCAACGTCGTCGATTACTCCGTGGCGCAGCTCACCCTGGAGCAAGTCTTCCTGCACTTTGCAATGCTCCAGCGAGAGACCCAGACGTGACGCCCGTCGAAATATCATTGGAGATTAGTCTTAGCCACTTTTTTAACCGATCTGACATCCCTCGTATATTTTAATATTTATTCAATTACTTCCAACTCACTTTACTGTTTTTTTATGAAATGTTTAGCATCGGGAACACGAAAGGGACCAGAGAGTGCATATAGCTCTCTTTTTGTGTGATATTAATGTAAACATACGAAGATCATGTGCATATAGAACGATAATGCGGGCGTCCTTATCGGAGACAGGGCTGAGAAAATACGATACTTTCCTGTGGCCTTTCTGCTCTCAGCAAAAAGCCCTTTATAAGGAAACGTGTGCGTTTTCGTCCAATATGGGTTATCAAGAAACCTTGACAACTGTGTAACTTTTGTGAACTATCTGTTTATTCGTAATATATTACAAACTTGTTGAGGGCTAAAAAAATTAAAAAGATTCAAGACGCAGAAAAAGCTTCAAGCATAAAAAGACGAGGCACCAACCAACACAATAATTCTGGTGCCATCAATACAATCAAGATGAAGTACACGTTGACACCACGAAAACGTGAAGATCGCGTTTACACAGTGTACTGCTGTAAAACGTCTGCCCCAGCTCAACAAAAAAGGCATCAATCAGCAACGAGCAGCTGGGAAACCCTTTTGAAAATGGCACAAAAAGAAGATAGGTCGGTAACATCGAAATAAAAATAAATACTGAAGATCGTTTCTCCCACCTCTGTGAATATGTCTAAACTCTTTCTCGTTGGTAAATGCTCCTGCACTCTGGAACGTCTGCTTTCCCGTAAAGTGCTCTAGAGAGAGGATCGCTGCACCCTACAGAGGACGCCCGGAGAAAACTTGTTGCGCCGCCCCTTTAATGATGTGCAGAATATAGCCAGTGTTATGAACCAATTACCGCTCGTTCGTTATTTAAAGCGAAACTGAACCGGTTCTGCATATGAGGGAAAAAAGAACACTTAAATCGCCATCATTTTTTCACCAAAGTCACAAATAGCCTTTTTTTAGCTAGGTGCACGACGGATGCAAAAAAAAAAAAATTGTTTTATGTATTTAAATGTTTTTTTGTTGTTTTTTTTTTTTTTTTTTTTTGAGCGTGACGTCATGTACAGTTTTGGGAATCTCCGCTCGCGCATCTTCAGCGCCTATAAAAGCTATGTACGCGCGCACTTGCTTTTTTTTTTTTTTCAAAAAGGTGAGAAAAAAACGTCGCGAATGCTGTCAGTGCGAGGGAATACTGCCACGCGCGTCGCCGAGCGAGCGCGTATAATGAGCAATAAAGATGAAGAAAAAAATCGTACGTGGCCGAATGGTTTCTGCACTTGGCTGTCGGGCGGAGGTACCAGGTTCGATTCCAGAGAGAAGAATGCTGTTTTATTAATTCTTTCAACTTGGCGTTCTCATAAGGACGAGAACATTGTCGTCTGATCGAGTTACGAGTGTTCCCAAGCCTGGCAGCGTAGTATCTTAATGATCCCTGAGGTGGATCTTCTGCCACCAGTCCTCCAGTCTTCTTTCCGTGTCTGCAACAGGACTGTTTGTGTCGTTGGCGGCTATTTTCTGCCCCGTAGCTGGGCAGACTGCTGTGCATTGTCCGATTTCACTGTCAGTGAAGCCCAACGCTTTAGCGAGCGCTAAGGGTTTTGCAAGTCGTGGGCCATTGTCCTGTGACGGGGACGTCTTGAGTCTCGCGCAGTCTAGCACAATGCGCTCCACCGGAGGGCCGAGTTTCAGCGGCGCCTCGCGACGAAGCCTGAAACTCGGTATTTCTTTTTTTTTTTTATCGTCTTTTCCGCGCTGCACCAGGTTGTGTTGGCCTCTATGCTGTTGGCGGCGCGCGGCAGAGCGAGTTTGGCCTTTTTCAATAAATTTTGACAGCCTGGCAACCACAGCAGCGTAGTCTGACAAAACTAATGTGGCGATGCAGGCGAGTTGGTTATGCATGTTGAAAGTAGTGAAAGCGCACAATAAGTCTGACAACCAGGGGATGACTACTTCCGTCCGCCATTTTGGGACTCTGGCTCATAGGAACTCTATGCGATTTTGTAGGAATAAAGAAGAGAAAAAAGTAACGCCATTTCGCATTATCGCAAAGTCCGCTGGTTCCAGCTGGCAACAAGCTCCGCCCATTATCCAAACTCTCTCAGTATAAACGGCTCTGTCGCGCGGGCGCAGCCAATGCCATCTGGTGTTGACTGCGCAAACTAAAAAAAAAAAGCAAACTAATTGACGGATGGGACTTCTTTCAGTATCCTTTAGAGAGAAAAACATTTTACAGCGTGAACGCGCTTGAAACCGGAAAGTGCAGTTGGCTGGCACGCACCCACGGATAACAGAACCCAACGAGGTAGGAGAACCGAGTTTTTGTGCCGCCTAGTGAGAACGCCTCTTACTAGGCGGTGCTAAAACTCAGTCCTCAGCCGGCAGCAGGCTCTTTTATTAGCGGCGATATGTTTTGGTGGCGCCCTCGGATGGTTCCCCCCAGAGCCGTATATGGGGAGAGTTTGGTCAGTCTATGATCTCGCCGCCGTAACGCCCTCCTCCCGAGTGAGCCAGTCAGCACGCGGCGCAGAGCGAGAGGCATGAGCGCATGCGCGTGAACTCCCGGCTGCTCCCAGCTGAGCGGGGAAGGCCGCCATCTTCGATCATTCTCCTGGCAGAATGCGTGGGATCGGCATCTAAATCTCGATTATTGCCTTTTATATCGCTGGCTCTGGCAAGAAAATTACATTCTGTTATTCCTCGGTGGGTTAAAAAGCTAATATATGAAAATTTTTCGCTGTATGGCCAGAAACTTTTATTCAGGCGAAAAAGAAGTCGGCCCGTACCAGACGACGCGTAGCCTCAGCAGTGCTCTTCTCCGACCAGTCTCCGACAGCGTTGCTAAAAAATGGCGGTCGTCTCCTCTCTGCTCTCTTCCTTCTCTCTCGCTCCTTCGGCGCTCTCCTCCCTTTCATTTACTTTTCTCCTCTCCGGCGCCTTTGTCGCCACACCCACTGGCCAAACTCTCCCAATATACGGCTCTGGTTCCCCCTTGTGACGTCATTACCTTGCGAACAACAAGTTCGATGGTGTTCGTAAATAGCATGGTGGAAGCCTGAAATCATTGCGCTCTCAAAGCAACACTGCCAACACAGTCGAAATTAAAGTTCTTTCATTCCTCTTATTTCCGTCGATGGTATATCCTTTCCTGACGTCATAGTCAGCTTTCTGCCAATCGTGGAAGGCCGACCACAGCGACGCTTTCGGTCGCGCACGTCGCCAATAGGAAGCGCTCAGATGACGTGGTCGTAAGTATAGTGTTGGTCGTGCTCACCACACGGCATTATACGCACGCCCTATACAACTATAATCACTGCAACGGCCACACCGAAAGCAGTGGCGCTTCGAACGACGGGAGGCTTTACGGGAAGCGAACCGCGGTGAGTGAGGGCGTGTACTCACGTCTATAAGCAATTTTGTAACTGAGCTAATCTAATAATTTTGCCGAAAGATCTGCGTATGATGTAACGACTGGTCGGAAGGTTTTCGTGTTTTCTCGCGTTTAGTCACATCTATGGAAAAAATGACCATGATATTCAGATTCACGGAATAAAAATACTCTAAAATTAGTCACCTCTACCTCGATTTTTTTTTTTTCAAGGACCTGTCTAAATTTTTTTTAAGCAGCACTTGCCCCTCAAGCGTTCAATATTTCCACAAATTTCCTTATCGATGTGTTCTATTGATGACTGCTGTAATTCGAGCACTCAAAAACATTTAAGAAATCACAAAACGTCACTTGTATTCTGTTCTTTAGTCCTAGGCAGCAGGTTGTTAGTCTCTGAACAATACCAGACGCACTTAGTCACGCCTTTTAAGGTCGTCGACTTTTAGAAGATGAATTGACTTCTTTATTTTATATCCATTGTTCTCAAACAATGACTCACAAGACCTTAAAAAAATCTTAAACGTTAGCGTTGGTCCGAGTGTAAACTAAATTTAGGCTTCCGCTGGTCAAATGCAGAAAATGATCAGTTGAAATTAAATGAAATCGTTAAAACCTACACCTTTTCCTTGTGTGTCCGTGTGTGTGTGTGTGCGTGCGTGCGCGTGTGTGTATGTTAGTTTGTCTGTTTATTGTAAGGTAGACCATTGACTGACGTCTCATGGTATCCACTTGAATAGGAGTGTTCTACTTTATCCCAGCTTCGACCGGTGATTCGATATAGTCAATAAAACCGTGAGAACGACCAGGGCGTCCTTTTCGAAGGCCCGGCTTCCAGCGCGCGCTCGATACCTTCCGTCGTGCTTTGACTGCGCGTGCACGCCGGAGACTCACGAGACTGCGAAGCGTCATAGAAGGCCGGAAAGCCCGCGCTGGAAGCGGGACAGGTGAAACTCCTCCCAGCCGCTTCCATCCTGTCCGTGACCATGGAGACACCTATAGCTTTGAACCAGACTTGTACGTCTACTCATCGAGAGTAGTCAAATTACTTGTAATCGATTACTTTTTGAAGTAGTTTTGTGTTAATTTAATTACATTTGATAAAGAGTAACTGCAAGGGTAATCTGATTACATTTGTATGTACTCGAATTACTTGTAACCGTAGTTAAAGCAAGCAGGCAGGCGAGCTGCTTCAAGGATAGGCATTGTAACCCTGGTGGAGCGAGAGGACAAAGAGGGGCGGACACTCGCTCCAGGGTTACCATGTCTAAACTAGTACCTGTTATCTTTTTTTTTTTTTTCGTCCCCTTTTTTATGGCATTCTTTGCTTCTACAAGTTCCCTGCCAAGAAATCTGCGAACCAAGTGTCCGACAGGAGAATGGTCTGCCCAAATCGGTGGGTTGAAAAGATGCAAAGTTTCTACTTCGGTGATTCTGACCCAGAAATGGAAAGTTCCAAAGACCCGCTTTAAAACCGGCAGAAATATCTGTCATTTTAAAAATATCAAATAATAAGAAAGGTAACCAACTTTTTAAAATAATGTTCACTTACATTAACTCTTAAGTGACCAAGCAATCTAATTTGAATACTTTTTATCCAAGAGCAATTGTAATCGCAGTCTATGCGAAGAACAAGTTCGTCTGCTTCTTTTTGCACGGGTTGTGGTGACGTCAGAACACCGACCTCTGATTGGCTCTAGTTGAAGGAGAGTGGGTAGACCTCAAAGCAAGCTGCCTTGAGGTCTACTCACTATCCTTCATTGAGTACCAATCCGAGCTCGGCGTTTTGACGTTACCACAACCCCTGCAAAAAGAAGCAGACGGACTTGCGCTCAGCATTACTTTTTTCGAGTCACGTGCACAAGGCTGCTTGCACCCACTACTTTCACTTTCTCGGACTCAGTTAGCTGAAAAAAACACAAAATATATTCATCACATCTCGTCGTGTCTTTCCGACCTTTGGTGTGAACAAGTGATCCATCGCGGTGAAACAGCTGCCCCAGCTCGCGGCCATCTTCTCGTATCCACATCAGCCACGTCACGTCTCCTGGTGACAGCGGCGACTAAAATGGGACTAGCCAGTTTATGAAAGTTTATATCTAAATGTTAAACCTGGGATCTCCGTCGACACTACAGGCTGCTGGACAAATCTGCCGCGGTAAGCGACTTTCCAAAATAAGCCCAACATATGTGCATGCGTGGCCCAAGTTGCGTACCAAACAAGTACCAAGTTGAGGAAAAAGTGGTGTTGTATTTTGTATTATATTGCATTTGTGATCATTTGTTTGTTTGGGATCGGTAGCCGTGTGTTCTAGATGTTTTTAGATTAAGTTCCCGGAGCGCGCCCCACACTAGCCGGTGAAGTGGTGGCGCTGCGGTTCCGAGAGGATTGTTCCATTGCGCGTCGTCTGCTGGCCTCCTGCTTTGAAAGGCGTTCGCACGCGGCCAACCAAGCCGCCGTAGAACTTGTAAAGCCAATATTTACCGCTGAACGAAAAGTATCTGGAGAGAGCGTGCGCACCAAAGCAAAAAGTAAAGTGCTAGTTGAATATACAATGTTTCCCCGCCACGAAGTGCATCTATGCGTGGTTTTAGCTCTTCTCTATGGGGCACGCCTGAAAGCATCGGTCAAATAAAGGAATTTTCTGCTCGCGTGTCCCCTTAGTAAAGTAGCTCTCTCATAAGGAACAATTACCGTTACCGTGTTCCGCGCACCCAGTGTTGTGGGCGTTACCGAAAATAAGTAACGAAATACGTTACTCGTTACTTGCAATATAAAGGAACGTGTTACTCCAAAATAAAAGGAATGCGTTACCGTTACCGATAAAAAGTAACGCACGTTACTTTTGCGCTACTTTTTATTAAAAGTCGATGTTAACGGCATTGTTTTTTATGTGTGTGTTTTGCTTTTCTTTTTTTTTTTTTTACGAGAGCGTTTTTTTAATATTGGGGCAAAGGGTTTTTTGCGTGGAGAAAAGACGGGCAAAATTTTCAAGGAATGCGGAACGAATGCAATAATTAATGACTTGGCGTATTGGACTTGTTGCAGCTTAGATTCAGACGCCGCCAACGCTTCGAGACAATGTGAACAATCAAGCAGCATCAAAAGCGCGAGTCACTGGGCTTTTTTTTTTTTTTTTTTTTTTATGATTGTTTCAGCGATGCTACAATACGTAAAGAAACATGACAGACGCCATGATGGTGCCCTTTTCACGCTGTCTGATTGGTCCCATCAGATCGTAGGGTTGGCTGCGTCAAAACCAAGTATAGAAACAAGAAAAAAAAATAGTACTTTAAAAAGTGTGCTGTATTGGGGGGACAGGGGGGGGGGGGCTGGGAAGGAGGATAACGAGTAAGGTAACTACGTGACCCGTTACTTAAAATAAGTGACGTGGGTACCTTACCCGTAACTGTTTTGAAAAAGTAACCAGTACGTTAGTACGTCACTGAAAGAAATAAAGACGTTTACAACACCCTGTAACGCCGAACTAGAGCACAGCTCTTGAGGAGGAGGAGGGAAGGGTACTGAGGGGAGGGAATACCCCTCCTCCCTCCTCCTCATCCTCCCTTATTCCCTACTCCTCGTCCTTCTCCTCCCCTCCTCCTCCCCTCCTCCTTCACCTCCTCCTCCCCTCATCCCTGAAACTTGTCCCCTCCTCTTCTCCTCCTCCTTCCTCCCCTCCTTCCTCTCCTCCTCGTCATCCTTTCTCCCCTCTCCCCCTACTCCTCTTCCCCCTCCTCTCCCCTCCTCCCCCTCGTACTCCCAGCGCGGTGCATTATGGGAAATGTTCCATAATGCGCCGCGCGGGACCCTCGTAACGTCACACATGACGTCACGAGTGACGTCGCAAGGGTCCCGCGCGGTGCATTACGGAACATTTCCCATAATGCACCGCGCGGTTACGCCGACGGTGACGCCACTCAAGCCGGAAACGGGCGCCTAAGAGCTGCGCTCGAAAAGTTACGCGTTTCTGGAAACGACGTTACTTGAAATGCTTTAACGCCAACACTGCGCGTACCTCACTATCGAAGCCTTTGAAGCGTGCTTTTAAGCGCGCTCCCGGGTGATACAGCGGACCGCTAAGTCAGCGCCACGTGAGCGCTCGGAAGAGCGCTCATGCGGTGCTTCCTAGCGCGTGACTATAGTTATAATATAGCGCGCGACTAGCGCTTTGGTAACGCCTAGGGTGCCTCAATGACCTTCTGTTTAGAGTGATGCCACCTTTTGTAGTACGCGATGCCGACAGCACGCGCTCACGGGGAAAATACAAAGAAATCGACGAAAACAAAATGTTGCCATAGCACAGTCAGCGCCACAGACGCGTGCAGGGACACGCTCTTTCACGCGCTTCTGAACAAAAAATAAATGTAAAAGTGGGAACAAAATGGCCAGATGTCTCCACCCGAAGCAAGGCGCACATGAAGGCACCCTAGTAACGCCTTGTTAGCGCTTTAGTAGAGCCTTGTTAGCGCTTCTTGAACCGCGGTTATTACAGCGGATTAGCGCGTGCACGGCACAAAGGTGTTTTTTTTACAAGTACCAACCATTGTTGTGGAAACGCGCAAGACACGTGCCACGAGCGGGTGCTGTGACGCCATTCGCTTCTAAGGGCCACTCGAGACACGGGCCTCGCGCATTGGCGCATTTGACGCTACTTGCATGACAAACACAAACACACCCCATCGAGGGGCTTTACGTTTCCCGCCCACGCATAGTTTAGTCTGGGTGGGTGTCATTCCAGGGTGCGGTTGTGTTAGCACTATGCGAGATGCACGTTAAGGCCACGGTCCCACTGATTCTAGCAATATAGGTGCTCTCAAAATGCTCGTTACTTGTCTCATTTTGAATACTTTCTTGAATTAATGGTTTCGTTTGAAAAGTAATAGAATCGTCTTTCCTCTGGTATAACTCATTTTCGTAATGTTTGTGGATATCTATAGCGTCACCAATAAGGAGGCGCGAACTCGCATTTGATGCGCTAGTTCTCGTTTTGTGCATGAACCAGTAAAGATAAGACGATTTTACTAATTATGTTTTGTTACGAAGATAGGGAAGGAGAAGTATACGAGGTTTCTTTGTTCTTTTTATAACTTCGTTTGTACAGGTCCCCAAGCACTGCCCTTAAATCGCCATGTTTTAACACGGGTGTCCTTTTGACTATATGCCCTAGAATTTTCACATTTGTGTTCCTGACATTAGTTATATCCATACAAATTTTCATATGCGTGAGTAATGTTATCTATTGCAAACATAGCAATATTTTATGCCTTAGGCGATGGAAGTCATTTTGCTTAAAGGACACGCGCAAATGAAAAAAAAAACATTCTTTTTATACAGCCTAGATGAAAGAGAGTGTCATACAAAGAAATTTCGACGAAAAAAAATTTAGAGCTATACCTACGGCGCGAAACAAATTTGTAGTTGGCGCCCATGGGAGCTCGCGGAAAAGTGGCCGCTATGGTCACGTGACTGGCCGCTATGGTCACTTGGTTCTTGTGCTCCTTCGGAAGCTTTATATGGGCTCTAGAAGTTTCTTATTAACCTTACTTTAAAGTGAAACAAAAAACGAAGATTATTAAGTAACTTTTAGAGCCCAAAAAGAGCTCCTGCAAGAGCGCAAGTACCACGTGATAGACATTTGCGCCGATCAGAAATTTATGGCGGCGACGGCGGCATGGAGAAACGCGTTCAACCGGCGGCGCGCCACGCTCAGCGTGCGGCGGCGGCGTGACTTTGCGGCGGCGGCAGCACACAGGTCTGCCAGGTGACTAGTGGCGGCTCCCGCGGGCGCGAGCTACAAACTCGTTTCGCGCCGTAAGTGTACCTATATATTTTTTTCTTCGTTGTAAACTCGTTTTATGACAATATTTTCCATCTCGGCTGTTTAAAAAAGAAAAGACCTTTGCACATGTTCTTTAACAGACAATAGACCCATTTAAAAAGTCCGCATCAACACCTGTACGCCACTGCTTGCAGCACATACTCCGAGCATGTATTGAACACAAGGCTTAGGTCAGCGTTCGGTGGCGCCTCGGTTCCAATCACGTGCTTTGTGTCCAAGCAATGGCGACCACCAATGTTGATCGATGAACAAAACCGCACAGGCTAAAGACAAGAGCGTGCCATTCCGAATCACGATTTCAACGAACAATACCACTTGAGCAGAAGAGCCGCCGTTCATGTCCTATAGCTAAACCGCATAATTCATTATGTATAAAGAACGATGAGAGAACAAGTTTGTTTGTGTGTCAGTAAATGTGACTATTGTACGCAGCTACAACCTCTTGGTGTTTCTGGAAACTGCGCAGCCGTCGAAGGTCCTCTCGCAGGAATGAAAGTTCTCTCAGTTGTCATTACGGCGTTGCTGGCTGCTGGTTAGTCGTGTTTCTGTTCCGTTCTTTTTAAAAGACAGTTCTTAAATCAAAACAAACAAAAACAGACAGCCTTTTGTTTCTATATATTCCTTTTATATACTTCTAGAATCAACTGGTTCTTGGTTTGACATCGAAAAGAAAACAAAAGGTAATCACATTTTTTTTTCACTACTGGAGATAAATTAGTAATAATGCATACAGTTGGATTATACTCTCATCCTGCATGACATAAAAAACGTACATTGTAGATAAATTAAAAAATGGGTGTCGGTATGTCTGTATGTGTGTTGGGGGGGGGGGGCGGGGGTGAAGGTTGAGTGATATGATGTCTTGTGCCACTCAAAAAGACATTAGGAAGACGATCTGGAAATCACAAGAGTTGACTGGTATGTTTTGTTTCGCCACAGTCGGTAACAAGCTAAGAGTTCTGTAGAGCACGCTCTCGGACGCCTTTCGCCGGGCTACGGCAACGGGTGCGAAGAAGTGTTATCAGAGTCAGTAATATTGCGCAGGAGGCGGGGCATCGACTGCATGCTTAACCTGGCACCGACTACAGGACATCGTGCGGTGCAATACGATTCAATCAAGTAGTATCTGGCCTGAACGAGTGACAGAGTGGCCATACGTTTAATCACTGCAATCTTAAACACATACCGGAACGATCCAGAAGCGGTGTTCCGGCTTCTTCCTCCTCTTCTTATTGGCATCTAACCAAATCGTACTATCCTTCCTAAAACGTCCACAAAAAAGTTGCTGATTTAAGATTCTCTTCCTGTACCCTCTAACTATTGTCTGAAAACATTATGTTTGATTTTAGGGCTACCTTTCATGTTTCTTCTTGGTATCTCTGTTTCAGTTATTTTTTTCACTTACGTTCTTGCTGTGTCGTTTAGCGCCAGGTGAGGGTGAAAAAAAGGAGATGCCTCAAAAACATTGAAAAATAGTTATTTGTAACTTTTTCTCGTGTCTCTCTCACTTCTCTGGAGTAAAAATAAATACAGTATTTTATTGCCTACAACGAAGCATTACTTGAACAAGAGTCTGTAGCATAAAGATAACACCAACTGTGTGCAGTATCTGGACTTCCAACAGGCATCGCTCATAGCGCCCTATTATTGCGCTAATCTGATAAGCCTCAATCGCTTCAGTTTGCTCGTCCTTTATTGCTATTTCAGCGAGTGGAACGGAACGAATTTCTCCTCGCATCGTTAACGGTTCAGCGACATCGATTGCGAGATTCCCTTGGATGGTGAGTTCTTAACTATATCCTTCCACAGCAACGAATCGACGCAGCCTACAAATAAAAGAGAGTTTTCCCCCTGAAAGTACCTTAACCTGTGAGCTTCGACTCTCTAATAATGTTGTTGTTGTTGTTGGATACGTTTTATTCATATTATCAAAGCTGTATGTTGGGCTAGTTGGTATTGGTCTTGGGTTGCCAAAGGCATGGTAGCGCTTTTTTGGACGAGGACAAAAGAAAGAAAGACAAGACAGACACGAGCGCTGACTGCAACTATTTGTCTTTCTTTCTTTTGTCCTCGTCCAAAAAAGCGCTACCATTCATATTAGGAGGGGTATGACGCGACCGGTTTCATGCCTTGTCGTGAAGGGGAAGGGAATAAGGATGCAGGAATGGGAGAGGGGGTGCGAGGGCGGGAGGGGGAGAGGGCTTACAGAAGGCCGGCCAGACCGGCCGTCCTCACGTAAGCCAAGAGTGAGTTGAAGACCCGCCTCTTGACGTCTGTGGGGCCTGTCGGTGCCGTCCAGGCCTCGAACGTCATTCCTGGTGGTGGACCGAGCTGCGCGAGTGCTATGTCCCTTTCCTTTCGCCTTGCCGGGCACTCCCAGAGCAGGTGGCGCAGGGTGGCGAGATGCGCTGAAGACTGGGTGTTAATGGAATATCGGGGATTAGCCCGGCGGTTTGATTGGCTTGAGGTGGCGATGTAGAAGTCGAACTACACCGGTCGCATATTGCATACTCTGGCGAACGTAGCCCGAAGCGGGCCAGGCGATACGGTGTCCATGCACAGCCGGTTGTGATTCGGCGTAGCCGGACCTCGGCCGCCCGCGGGTATCCCCTAGGGATGGAGGTCGGGCACTCAGGCAGCCGGGTGGACAGGCGCCGCTTGGTTTCGGTGCGCGGGTGCTGTGGTGGTGAAGGGCCTGTGCTAGCGTCGGAGCCAGACGGTGCATCCAAGGGTCGCTGAAGCGGCTGACCGGCCGAGGGGAGAGACAAGAACGCCCTTGCCAGCCGGTGCGCCGCTTCATTGCCCTCTATGCCCGCGTGGCCCGGAACCCAAACGACCCTGATGTGTGCGGCCGATCCCAGGACCAACTCGAGTCCCGCTACAGCCGCCCGGATGGAGCAGACCGTTGGAGAGCGAGGGGGGGCCGAAGAAAGGCATGCCTTGACCGCCTCCGCAGAGTCTGTGTGCAGGAGGATCTCGGTGGGAGATAGCCCTCTGGTGGCGGTGTCGCGGAGCGCCAGTTCCGCTCCCAGCAGGATCGCCCGCAGCTCAGCCTCCAGCGAGTCAAGCCCCGGTGGAAGCCGGACACCAGTGGTCGATCCCAAGGACAGGCAACAGGCAGCTGCGGCAGTAGATCTGGATCCGGGATCCGCGGCCGCGTCACAGTAGTATCTGCGTACTTCGGGGCCGTCGGCGTTGACGTCACGTTCGTGCGCCGCAGCTTGGGATCGTCGGCGGCCTGGATGGCCGCCTCCAGCATGGGATGGCGTCGGCTTGCCCGAGGTCAGGCATGGCAGACTCCAAGGTGGAGGGCGTGTGGCTGGTGGTGGAACTCCCTCAACGGGTCGCAGGCCCAGCAACCCGAGAATGGATCGTCCCGGTCTGGACCGTGAAAGGCAGATGTGCTGCCCTAGGCATGCCTCGTGTAACAGGTCTCCAATGGTGTTGAGTCCAGCATGGGCCTGCAGCGTGTCAACCGGCGTGAAGTTCGGCAGGCCCGTGACGATACGCATGGCACGCTGATTAAGGACCTCTAGGTCCTCACGTTGTTTCCTGGTGATGCCTACGTGCTGTGCCCCGTAAAGCATCTTGGCTTGGATGAGGCTCCTAACAAGCATGCGTAATGTGTGGGTGTCGGCGCCCCAGTCCTTAGCTGTGGTGCGACGGATAAGGTGCAGCATATGTACTACGGAGGCTTTGGTTTTGCTCAGCCACGTCACAGGTGGGCCGTGCGCGGAAAAGTCGACACCAAGAACACGCAGCACGTTTGTGGCGGTGATGACTGAGCCCCCGAACTTGAGTTCGATGCACGGGGTCGCCTCTCGGCGTGCGTTGGTGTTTCCAAACACGGCGTACTGCGTCTTATCAGGTGACGGAGTTAGACCGCGTTCTATCAAAAATCCGGCGACGATGTCCAGTGCTTCTTGGGCGGAATCATTTTGAGGGCCAACTGGGCCACCCGTCGTCCAGATTGTGATGTCGTCTGCATAAATGGTGTGGCGGATGCCTGGGATCTTGTCGAGGCGGTGGCTCAAATCCGCCATCACTAGGTTGTAGAGTAGCGGGGAAAGCACCGCGCCTTCTGGGACTCCTAGCTCGAGTGGAGCCGCAGGAGCTTGTGCATTTTCTACTGAGACACTGTAGGTGCGCCGTTGAGGAAGGCCCTGATATACTGGAGAGGCTTGCCGGTGAGGCCCGCCGCGGATGCGGCGGCCATCACAGTAGGATGTGGAACACTATCAAAAGCCTTCTTCACGTCTATAGACTAGAGTGCCTCAATGTCTTTCTGTTTAGGGTGATGCCATCATTTGTAGTACCCGATGCCGACAGCACGCGCTCACATGGAAAATACAAAGAAATTGCAGGAAACAAAATGTCGCCGTAGCACAGTCAGAGCCACGAGCGCGTGCAGGGACACGCTCTTTCACGCGCTTGAGAACAAAAAATAAAAATAAGCGTTCGAAACAAAATGGCCAGATGTCATCACCCCAAGCAAAGCGCACATGAAGGCACCCTACTATAGACCTTTCCAGCGGCAGTCTCGAACGAAGCGATTTACCGCGCGCGTCCCTGGTTTTGAGAGTGTACGTCAGTGTTGCCCGACTGCGCTGAGCTGTGGAATTTCTCGTCAGCAGGCTCTGGCAGCCTGCATAGGCGCAATTCCGGACGCTGGTGGCAGCTGAATTGCCGCGTTTTCTTTCTTATTTTGTGTTCTGTGGCGAACATAATTTATAGAGGTCTTTAAAAGAGCAGTGCTCTATTGTTGGGAACAAAAACAAAGAAATGAAAGCTGTTTTGGTGAGTCCGTGCGCGACAGAACAAATGCATCTGGAACGTTTGTTTCATTTTATGATCATCGTTTTACGGCACCGTACACTCAGTCGTGTCAATCTATAAAGATCAGAATATTTGACCACACAGGATATCCGAACTGCATGGATATTCCCCGTCCACAATATGAAATTCAACGCTTCTAATCAATCGAACAACATATATTGTACGTACCCCACGGTGCCGCGTTATCCGAACAGGATTTGAAAAAGGTCTCAAATAACACAGCATATCCAATATACAGTGTCGACGACAGTCACTTCACGACGATCGGACGGAATCTGGCGTATTTTGGGGAACATGTAGAAGAGAGCTCCTTTTTTTCACAGCTTCAAAGCAAATGAACGAACGTGTCTATTCTGTCCCCACACCCCGGACCCGACCCTATCAGCTATTTTTCGCGAAGACCCGGAACACAGCCGGGAAGGCTTTTTGGAGATTATCTCAACGGAAATAATCCTCCAAGAACGTCGAACTGCCTGCGTCGCGGGCTTCTTGACGTTCGCTCTTTTTGTTCGTTTCCTGCGAAGGCCGAGCAGGCCAAGAGCCCTGGTATTCCCTGGTTCTCACGGTGGAAGATAACATACAAAGGGTAAGCATCCTAAACAGGCGAATAAAGTAAAAACTTCCAAGAAAAGCCGCCGAACTCCAATGCAGGTGGGAAGTCACGCTGACCGGGTTTCCACAGCTCAGGCGGGTGCCAGAAATTTCTGGTTGATAGGGGTCGCTCGATTCGCAAAATGGCGGCGGCCAGAGCGCTCTTTTTGCAAAGGTCTATAGCAACCGCTATTTTGATGTCGTAGCGCGGGTGCTTGCCGGCAAGATCCTCAGCGAAGACGGCCAGCGAGTCCTGCGTGCTGAGACCCCGGCGGAAGCCAGTCTGGCACAGGTGGAGGACGTTGTTTGCTTCAATGTGCCATTCGAACCGCATCAGCGCCATCCTCTCCATAAGCTTCCCGACATGTGACGTCAGAGAGATGGGTCGCATATCTGTGAGCTGTTTTGGAGTTCGGCCTGGTTTTGGGATTGGTATAACCGAGGCGTGGCGCCAGATGGCGGGAAGTTGACCCAGCTCCCAGGACTCGTTGAAGATGTCCAGAAGTTCTTGCATCGCTGCCTCCGGAAGGTTGCGAAGGGCCGTGACAGTTATCATGTCGGGCCCCGGGGCACCATGCAACTTTGTGATTGAGAAAAGTGCGCCCTGCAGCTCTGCCATGGTAAAGGGCCGCTCCATACCTGGGTCCATGGGTTCTTGAGGTGGAGGGAATGAAAATCTAACCTTGGCTGGGTCATAACTCGCTGGACATTCCTGTGGAAAAAATACGGGGCCAGCTTTGCTCGCGAATTCTTCATTGGAGATTGCCACCCGGAGGGCCATGTCTTCTCCAGCTGTTTGCTGACGTTGGTTCTTCGTCATACCACGCATCGTCGCCCAGACCTTGGCCGGTGATGTGCGCCCGTTGAAAGACGTGCAGTGGTCGTGCCACTCTTTCCGCGAGAGCTCGAGAGAATAGCGTTTTGCTTCTGCCGATGCACGGTTAAAGCGTGTGCGGTCGGGCGGGAGTTTGCCGTCCTCTAGGTAGCAGTGTTGGGCCTTAATCCTTGATTCCCATAAATTAAGCAAGTGCTGATCAGGAGTCGGAGCTTCGGCGCTTACCTTCACTGACCGCGTCACGATCTCCTTGGCTTGAATAATACGATTGAAAAGTGGTTCGTGAGGCGGTAGTTCTGCGAGCACCTCACGAAAGTCGTCCCATCGGGTTGTGCTTACGGTGCGTGTAGCAAGAGCGCGAGATTTTCCGCCGAGGCCGATGATAATTGGGAAGTGATCGCTACCCCAGGTGTCATCTACCACCGCCCATGAACACCTAAGGCTTGGAGAATGCCATGTTACGTCTGGCGATGTAGAATCTTGCTGTTGACTATCGGCCCGACGGGTTACCGCGTCAGGCGAATTGGCGAGCACGAGGCCTGCCACAAGTGCGTTGTCTGCTACGCTTCGGCCTCGTACGGTGTTTGATTTCGACCCCCACGACGTGTGGTGCGCCTTAAAGTCACCTCCGATCAGCACAGGCAAAGGGTGAGTAGTGCGGGTACACAAGAGCTTGAGCCATTCTGCATCTTCGTCGTTGGTGGTACTATGCGGTCTCCAGTACACAGACACGACTACGATATCCTTGTCTCCGAGGCGCGCCGATACCGCCGTCACTTCGCGCTGCTCGGAACTGTAACACGAGGTATCGAGCTGGGCAGCAGGGATCAATTTTTTCAGTAGCACATGGGCATGTGCCTGGGGCACAGGAATGGTTCCCTGTGCGTCTCCTTTCCGACGTGGGCCCTTCTGGGCGACGATGATGGTAGGGGTATTGAAGGCCCGGTACCCTACAATTTTGGGCTCTGGCACCCTGGCCTCTTGTAGGATTATGTCGGGGGGATGGGCGCTTGCGGCCAGCCGTCTCTTGAGTTCTGAACCGTGCTGTCGGTAGGAGCGGCAATTCCATTGCAGAACTGTTAATCCTGGGCCGAAAGGATCTGACGGCCGACCGGTAAGCGCACAATCAGCGCCGTCTGCGCTGCCGCCTGTTGTCGGGCACGACGTCATTGTGGGTGGCGAGAAGGGAGGTTGCAATAAGAGTGGTGAGGTTGTCGAGTTTCTCGATGGTCACAGTCGCTAGCTTTACGAGTTGCGAAAGTGACAGCTCGATCTCTAATAATGCGTCTATCGGAGCCAGAACCAGCGGCCACCTTGCACGAGTCGTTCTCGTCGCACTCCCCTCCCCCCCCCCCTAAAAAAAAAAAAAGAAATTCCCGGTGTTTTCTTTTAGCCTTTCCCTAAAAGCATTTTTCTCCGCTGGTGTCCTCTACTACTACCATAAACTGTGGTAGCAGGGGTAGTATCCTCCACTTACAAACTAGTGGAATATGCCCCAAAGATGCGCATATATATTTCAACAGAACGAAATGTATAAAGATATTGCTAGACCAGCGCGTATCAAGAGAATGGGAAATTCAACACAAGCTTATTCAAGCTGCAAAGTAGCGTTTTTGATACACCTTAGTCGAGTAATTGCTTCGGTAGTTAAATTAAGACTTTACTTTCCCTACCTTTTAATGGTATGCGTGCACGCGTTAAATAGATTTGTTTGTAGCTTTAATTTTTTTAATAAATAGTTTCAACTTATTATATAATGTCTTTAATGCCTTTCTGGGTTCTTGTAATTAGAATAGCAACACGCCTTGCAATTTTGGCGTTTTTTGTTGCTGCTGTTGTTGTTTTACTTCAAATATCTAGAATGTTAGTAAATATGAACAATTATGTCAATATAAAACACATCTTTGGAGATATTAAGTCCCATCAAATATATTATTGCCTTTTTACAACCAGGCTGTATATGACTCGTTGGTCAGGTTTTTTTCATGTCCGTCGACAGAATAGTAGACAGAAAATCATCGGGAGCACCTTATCACCATTTGTGCGCGTCTTATCTCTTATTGTGTGCTTTTGACACTTGTTTCAATAAGAAAACCACGAAACAAGTCTCAAAACCGCGTAAAAGCTGATACGCACGTAGCGCCCCCCCCCCCCCCCCCCCATACGTTTTCGGTAAAAATTGCGGTTGCATAAGCTGCCGCGGCAACGGCAGAGTACGAAATGTGGAGCGACGTCACTAACCCCGCTAACAATGCGAAGCACGTAGCGCTCCCCGCATGCCTTTCTCGGTAGAGATTGCAGTTGCATAAGTTGCCGCGGCAACGGAAGCCTGCGAGGTCTTTCAAACATAAAAGAGTTTTGGTACAGTGCATTTACTTTTCTTTCGTCAATCATTTGGTATAGACCCTTCTGCTGTTTACAAACATGAACTGTCGCTTGCGTCCCAAGCGACTTTCGGTTCCACCGATTTTGCAAGCCTGTTCAGCTTGCTTATGTCGCCAGTGCTAGAAAGCATACATGCTACATGGACAATGAAGTTAGAGATTTACCGAAAACCCTCGGCTGAACAATATTACATCTTGGAGGAGGCAAATTGATTTACAAGAGTGCTCGAAACATCTTAACAGATCTAGCACACCTTCCTTCTTTTGGAGTTCACCTGGAGAATTGGGGGTTAAACGTTTCAGCGACACTTCAAGCACTGTATTAAGGTGGACTTTGTTCCTTCCTTTTAAAAACCGGAAGTTGTCTGGAACGTCAAACACTGGAGCATCACTTGGTGGCGTGGGCCGTGAGAATGGTCTCTAGTGCGGTGGGAAATCGTTGCAGTTGATGCCACAGCTTCGCTGTCCCACCATCTTCACAGCGTAAATTGGTGCCTTACTTTTTTTTTTGTGGTTTTAGTTTTGAATGCTGGGATCCGAGATCTAGCGGTAACGTCGGAGACAACCTTCACCATCTGATCTCGTTCTAGCACTCGAAGGGCACGTGCACCCTGTCACAATTACTTTATACCCATCATGGAATGTGGCATTGTTGTCTCATATTACAGACAATTTTTGTTTACTGACAGAATTGTTGCTCTCCTTAGACACCAAGTTAAGATCCCCCACCCCTAATCGCAACCGAAACTGATAACACGATAACTCAGTTGCAGAGTATTGGCGTATTCTACGTTGTGTCCCATAAATAGTGCATTGAGGGTAAAAAAAAAAGACCGAACCTAATTTTTGAGGTTATCGGCTCTCGAGAGAAAGTTGCATGCAAGACCAGTTACCTCCATTACAACTTACAAAATAAAGTTAAAAGGCCATTACACTACCCAAAATATATATCTTCATTGTTCCAAACGACTGGATATATGTTAACAATAAACGTCATCTTCAAAATTCAAAGGCGAAAAATTGCCTAATTGCGACGACAAAAATATGTCACATTTTAAAGTTTACCCGCCTTTTAATCACGTAGACGGCAAACTGGTGCCTCATTGCTATATGTTGATGTCCCAAAACGAAAGTGCCTTTAACACTATAACGAGTAGGCTTCTTCTCATTCTCGTGCGTTCTACGTCTCAACTTTCGTCCTCATCAGAAATAATCAATCAATTTTCGATCAAACGTTACCGTACGGCATCGAACCCAACTTGGCCGAGGACTCGATAATATCTTCCTCGAAGTGCGCAGGTCATCTGGCACGGGAAATGTTTGATCACCAGAGCCAACGCTGATTTTACGGTCGCTAACAGTACGGCTGGTTCAGCCGTCGAAAGCCATCGTATATTGTAATTTAGTTATCAGAAGGCAAGGAAAGGATAGAGTGCTTGCCTCTACCTTTTCCGAGTTGTTTTTGATATTGTGAAAGAAGTGGCAAAACAAGTGGCGTACTGTGTTCTCAAGAAGTGTAACAATGTTTCATAGACGTCATTCATAAATGTTACATTGTGTGTTTGCTGTTGTGTGTCTGTTCTTTGTTTATTATTGGCCCATCGCTTGTTGTTGCCTGTTGTTACTTTTACTGGCAGCCAAGGATGCTTGGTGCTAAGAGACAATCCTCGCTTATGGGTAAACTATTCTTAGGTCAGACTACGCACCAAGTACCACAAAAAATGGCACGGGTGCGGTGGAGCCATACTAACTCCAAAGCACGTAATCACAGCCGCACACTGCATACGACGGTAAGTACGTTTTTATGCACGTAAAACCGTAAATAACAAAAAAATTTCAACCTTTCCACTCTGGTGAAGACGGAAGGCCAGCGAAGCTGTACTAGGGTGGGAATGAAGTAATGGCCGTCCGCAAGTCGGCAAGCCAGAGTAAAGAGGCTGGAAATGTTGCCGCGATTTATGATCGACGGCGACAAGCAGACAACCGGCAAACACAACACTCTGGACAGCTACCGCCATCTATGAGCGACAGCGGCAACCAAAGCGTTGTGTCGACATTTGTTTGGTACCAGACACGATCCTGGGGAACCTAACCCTTAACAGCTCCGCTGTAAAAACGAGATACCATTACACATTTAACAAAACAAATTTACTGGTCAGCGCACGTGAAACTAAAATGGCCCAGCGGCTCTTTTTATTATACAATACCTTTCAAACATATTCCTCGAAGGTACGTAATGACGCTACCTAAGAATCTTGATTCTACAAGTTCATAAAACTCAACAAATCTCATAAACTTTTTAATGATCGCGCACACACGCTAACTATGCTAAACTTTCTGTTAAAAAAAAAAACAATGATTTAGGGTAAGCGACATCTGCAATTTACTGAAGGAATGATCATTCAGCCGGTGTCATACTGCTTATATACGTCATACAAAAGACAGTCTGCATAGAGATTCGAACGCCAGTCACTGCGAGGTCTCTGCTTCGAATGCCGCCGGGCAATAAGTTCAAGGAGAAACTTGGCAGACGGCATTCGAACCACAGAGAGTGCAGTGACTCGTGCTTGCGGTCTGTATTTTGTATGATATATGAGCAGTGCGGCCCCAGCTTTAAGGATTGCGACTGAAATTGCATTTCTCCTACACCGATTCCCGAAGTCGCGCTCTGTAAAATCTCGCCGAATATGACAAACTTTCGTATGTATTGGACCTTATATGGGAGTCAGTTGTTTAGATGCAACGCGGGACTTTTTAGCGAACATCGGCAATATTCTGACATCCTCGTTCGTCTTCATCTTTCTCGATCGCGCAAACAGAAAGTTGAACCGAGAGCCCAGAAAAATCATGGTCCGCTACGGCAGCTCCGTCCGCGCCAGGATGCAAGAGGTGCGGGTGAGAGGTTACTACCGGCACGAACGGTACAGCCAACAAACGTTCAGCAACGACATCGCCGTGCTTCTCCTCGACCAAGCCCTGAAGCTGAGTAAGAAGACTAAAGCCATCCGCATTTCCGGAACTGATGCAGACCTTGCTGGAAAGAGAGTCATCGTGGCTGGATGGGGGCGACCCGAGGAAGGTACGATCCATCGAGCGTTTTTATTCCAATGGACTTTCCAAAACTTCTTCGCATGCGTACGCCCTCTCACTTGACCTCGCTTTTCGTTTTCCCCCATTTTCGGAGTGCGTCGTCACGCACGACCAATATTATGAGCGTCTACTTTTCAGCGTATTTCGTCTTTTATGACGGTGCGTTTTTTTGTCTTTTTTTTTTTTTTTAGTAACGCGTAGTGTTGGGCATCAAAAAGGAATGGAAACCGCTATATGGGACACGATGCCAGTGTGTTCTGGCGGGCCGAGGAATGTTGGGCCCTCCATTTGTAGTTCTCGGACAAACTCCCTGAAGGCGCTCGCTACTCGCAAGGTTTCCTTAAGTTTTGTCACAAACTCCGCTTGACGAAGATTTCCTGTCACTCCACTTGAAAAAAAAAACAAATTTTCAACGATAAATCACGCTACATGAAAACGACATGATTACATCTAAGGTTCACAGCTCACTAAAGGACGTGGGTGCCACGTACAAAGCTCGAGCCATTTCTTTTCCGAAGTGACTGCACCGCCTACCGCAAAACCCTTCGCGTTTCCAATACTTTCGGCAATTACAAAATTAGAGAAAAATAAAGGCACGCGAGCATGAGGCCAGAATTTAAGTCTATAGAATTCCCTAGAGTTAGCTGCCGCGAGTAGGTTCCTATGCCTAATTTGCGGATAAATAGGATTGCAAAAATAAAGAATTTTACGTATGCAGCGTTTAAAACAACCAAGAGGACGAATCGTGCGATTTTCTCAAAGACGTTTCCGGCTGTTAAAGTTACAAACAATAGTTACCTTGCAGGCCAAGTGCACAAAAATTCATCGATCGTGGCACCGTTCGTGAGTTTCAGATTCGCAGTGTGGGGATCCTTGCTGAGGGCCGACGACTGCAGCACGTAACTCCGCACGTGTACGCTAGTCGACGTGGTCATTGGGGCCCCAACGCTGCACTCAATAATGTGTCCGACATTCGCAAGTTGTTCGCCTTCGACAAAAGAACCCCATCACAACACCAACCACAGTAGCAATATTATGTTGCATATTATCCGGCTTGGCATTCCTCGCCTTCGCGTATTTCCACGCTCGTGGAACGATACAATATTTTCGAAGAAACAAGCGTTCGCAAGGTAAATAGCGCGGCTTACTCGAAAACAAGCCTTCGTCGTCGCGAGGATCTATCCTTCAAGGTGCGCCGAGAACAGACGACGTGCAACGGTATCCACACTCGTAGTGTTTCCAACATCAACCGCACGGTGGCGGCTCTGTTCGATCTCGAGGCCATATACGGCGACTGTGCTACCCAGAGCACGTACAAATAGGACTCATAGTTCTGTGTTTGCTGTGCGCCTGCGCTTTTTCAGGAGCCTCCCGCAGGACCGAGAACCTGAGATACACATCGCAGGTTGTCTGGCCTCCCAACAAGTGCCGGCGAAAGCTCAGGTCTTTTAATGAGGAGATCCACATTTGCGCCTACGGAAAAATTTCCTCCACCTGCAAGGTAAGGCCTGGGCTACCACTCACGTCCATAGCGGGTGTTCACTAGACGCCATATTTGAGGGCCCTGTTTAGAGCGCATGCTCAGAACGAGCTTATATTAATAGTCTGCTAAAACCGGCAATCTTGATGGTGCGGGATGCATGTTACAAAGGACGTGCGGAAGCTCACCTTCAGCAAGCGCTCAGCAGCCGCGCACACAGTTATGGCCGCCAGTGAACACTCCCCATTAGCGATGTGCACGACCAAAAGCGTCGCTGCGGTCAGCTTTCCACGATTGGCCAGACCATGGGCATATGAGCATTGTCAGATTGTCAACTTTGACGGTGTTAGTTCCGGTTGCCATGGTTCCTAGCTTCCACTGTGCTTTTTAAACTCACCATCGAACTCGTCGCCGCACGTGGTGGTAAGTAGCCAGGGTAACAACTGGCGACGTCCCGGCGAGGCAAATCCCAGTCGTGACGTCACGGATGGAAACCATCAGAGGCCGCCATCGAAATGTCTCGGCGCTAATACGAACTAAAGCCCCTCCATCCTGGGAACAGAGCCGTATATGTAGAGAGTTTGGTCAATGGGAGGCGCGGGCAGAGCCAGGGCGTGCGGCAGACTCGGAAAGAAGGCTTGGCATGCTCTCTTGACCAACCAGAAGCCGAAAAGAATCCCCTAGCGGTGGTAGCGGGAAACAGTTCTGAGCCGATCGATCATCGAAGGTCTATGTTCGTATATGGTTTTAATAAGTGCGTAAGAGTGACGTGTAGTAACTCTTTGTGGTTGAAAATAGGGTGTACGTGTTGTTTCATCATGATCATGCAGAAAGATGTAAGAAACGAATGCGCCGCTCAACTCTGTTTTGCGCGGACAGAGTGTGACCGCTCTGACGGCAGATTCCCGGCGCTCGGCGTTTGGCGTAAGGATTATGTCGATCTTTCCGCTAGTCCCACTCTTCCACCATCATTTTAGATGAGTGTGATTGAAACATCACGTGTACCGTATTTTCAGCCATCGAGAGTTACTCCAATGCAGTTATCAGGTTTGTTTCTCGCGACCACCGCCAGGGCATTATTTCCGGCTTCTGGTTGGTCACATTCGAATTTCTGAAGACGCCCTGGAACACGCCCAGCCCGCTTTCGGCCAATGGCACCGCTTCATTTGTCTCCCATACTTCCCAACGAATGGCCAAACTCTCTACATATACGGCTCTGCCTGGGAAAGTGGCGCCATTCATTAATGTGTAAATGCTCGAGACACGAGCCGCGCGCCACTTCTGGGAAGAACACGGCGTCTGAAATCTAGCTCCGTGCTGCGCTGTGCCGCCATGATGTTGCCAAAGGCTGCACGTGGCACGTGCCTCGTGCATCGGCGCACCTTACGCTACTTTTGAAACATGAAGGGGCTCTAATGAGAACTGCCGACTTGCGGTTTTGCTCATGTGTTGAACGAAGTTTTGTTGAGTGTTGGCCAAGATTTTAAATAATGAAAAACTTGAAGGTCGTTCGTTATGCTTTTGCTTATGTGTTTTTTTTTTATGCGGGAGTACTCCGCACAAACGCCCGTAACAGCTGCCAAGATTGTAGTAAAAAAGTAGTTTACGACGCAATATTCTAGACATATTCGTTGCAGAATCCTGCAAGCCATCGTCGATATTGAGTGCACTAAGCGTTCTTTAATAATTACTCATTTTTCACAGCTAGAACGAGCCAACTAGTTCAGGCACGTTTTATCTACTTTAAATAAGAAATTAAAAAAAAAATATTTTGGAGCTTCTTTTTTTTTGTGGTGGAGGATTTTTATGTGGTTGTTTCTTTTATGTTCTGTGTTCTGTGCTTTGTTGTTGGCTGCTAATTTTCTATTTAGGGGAGCGGCCCCTTTTATTCCGTGGTCCTTCTATTTTAGTAAGGGTGCAAATATGCTAATTTGTTTAACATCTAGGCAAGCAAATACAAAGCTACAAGTATTACCATTTTGTAGGCATGTGCGAATAGTGTATTTTAAGTTCGAAACGAAGTCAAAGCGAATAGTGGCTTTGGTCGAATATCTTCGAATCGAATATCGAATAGTTTCTACAAGTCTTACACTGCCGTGTACCATGCTTAAACAAAACTTTAGCTGAACTCTTCAAGGTTGTTTCTAACCTCCCACTTGTCCACTTCAAAGTCCGGTTAATTTTATTATAACTATATTTATGAACTCTGGCATGCAAACGACAGATTTGTCAAAGCTATCCTAATCAAGGGTATTCATAAATTTGCCTGCTCTATGGAAATATTCTTACTTCTATATAAAATTTTGAGAAAAAAAAACAGACCTGTTCAAAAAAGGGTTTCTGGCCGGTACCATTTTCAGTGTTCGTACGTACGGTGCGTGATTTGCTCGTATCGAGACGTGACGAACATGCGCATGCTGGGCTGAGGAAATCGCACACTTGGCTGAGGACTTGTAAATATTGGTATTGGGGAGGAGACCGAACGCTCCAGCTGGTGGGGGAACTAGAGCCACTAAATGAGCTGCGCTTAGAGTATCGGCACTCTGTTCCCTGACATTGTTGTGGGCGCCGCCATTTTGGTTCGTATGCAGAGCAGACGCAGCTGCCGATCGTCATGATTCAAAAGTGCGACTTCCTCAGGATTAGATTCGGTGTTAGGAAGCTGATGGAGTATAGCTTTGCTCTGTCGCGAACCGTTTAAACATTTGTGGTGGGCGCAAAAGCGTTTCCTGTGATTTCAGATAAAGCTTCAGATAACTGGAAACCATAATTTTAAGACACAATATGGGCAAGTGTCATTACTCTGAAGAGTAGATTTATTAATGGCACTAGGGACGACTAAAGCCCCTTGATAAAAGCGTTTTTTTACAAGTACCGCCAACCATTGTTGTGGAAGCGCGCGAGACACGTGCCATGAGCGGGTGCTCCGCCGCCATTCGCTTCCAAGGCCCGCTTATTTCAGCGCTGCGCCGCCATTTGCTTCCAAGGGCCACTCGAGACATGGGCCTCGTGCACTCGCGCATTTGACGCTACTTGCAAGACAAACGCAAAAACATCGAGGGGCTTTAGGGACAACAAATCCAATTTTCTTGTTTGTTTTTGATCAGAGAAATCAAAGATGACGATTCGAAGGCCACTCCTCGTGCGACGAAATTACTGGTCAAAGCCGAGTGCTCGTGCCCAAACCGCGCTAGGCGAGGTTCAATTTCTTGTTATGCTGTGCTATGCCCGTGTCCCACTAGAGCGACAGACAGAAACAAACGACAGCGACAAGCCTCAAACCAGAGTCTTTTGCGATTTGAGAGGCTTTGTAAAATAAAGGAGGCTATGCTCAACCACAAGCATCATGCACGCGAGGTAATCTTTGGCAGGCTTGCAATCGCTCGCGCTTACTTCACAAGCATCGAACGACTAAACCTCTGCAAAAGGTACATTCGCGAGCATGCTGCATGGGTTTGAGGCTTGTCGCTGTCTTTTGTTTCTGTCTGTCGCTCTAGTGGGATACGGGCATTAGTAAACACCGGACTGTGAGGACAACAAGCTCGGTAAAGTGCCCCCTATGGTTCGATCTCTTGCCCAATACCTGGGGACAACTTTTCTTGGCAGTGAAGCGAAAGCTATGGGCACCCGTGCACTCGCACAGATTGAGCGCCCATCACAGCTGTGTTCGCGCGGTCTTCACCTCTTCGAAAATGCCAGAAAATGTTGTCCCCGTGTATAACATATTTGCATAATCGGCGCGTTAGCCCCGTTGAGCGGACTTCTCACCAGGCACCCATGCGCTGCGGGGAAGCTATACCTGCGTTGCACGCGTGCAGTGCGGGGTATTGCTTCGCCGCAGTGCACGGGTACTCGGTGAGTAGCGCACTCAATGGGACTAACTCGCGGCGATCAACGCTTCGAAAAGTACGAATATCGCAGTTCACCTCGAAGCGAATATTGAATAGCTCAATATTCGAAACTACTATTCGAAAGGTCCAATATTCGCGCAATGTTACCATTTTGCACTGAACGATGCTCGCGCTGCACGAGCAAACGGGTTTTACAGGAACCCTGAAGCCCGGAACTCGCTTTTATAGCTACTACTATAAATAGGAAGATTTTCTAAATTAAAGCGGTGCAGAAACAAAATGTTTGCACTTATTTTTTTTTATGTGGTCTATGTTGCGCCACCAGCCCTGAAACACTACCCTAGACTAGTGTTTCTGGGCTGCGGGCAGAGAACTCGAGAAAACTAATTTCAAAACGAATTAACGGATTTGAAAAATGCGTCTGGTGGCGGTCTGTGAAGCTCCGTTGGAATGCCGCCGCGTCATGAGTTCCGCCAGATCGCGGCAGTATGGCTCGCTCGTGGACTTACTTAGTCCTGAATGTGACTTGGCGGAGAACGCTAGCGCGTTTACCCATAAGCTGAGATTGCAGCCAAAGCTACAAATACGAGCTATCCCGCGCTTTTGGCGTTGAGACATGCATTTCTAGCGCGAGCGCTCGTTCTGCGGAAAAGCGGTTCAAAGCAGCGACCTCAAGCTCTCGTGGTAGTGGCATTGGCTGCAGTTAAAGCTTCCACGGTGCTTCCTCGGCGTGCATTGCAGACATTCAAGATCGCAGTTCTTTGCGGACGTTAGGTATAAGGAGCTTGATCTGAGGATACGGGCACTTCTACCAGGCCAACCATAAACCCGCTCCCTACCCCCCCCCCCCCCCCTGATGCCCTCTGAACAACGCGCTCAAATATGGCGCCCAGTGAATATCTTACATACAAAGCTTGCAATTATCTTCATTGCTGGGTACTGACAGTTATTTCCACTTGGTTCCCTCAAGCTACTACTCCTGCGGTGCGAAACTAACACGGTGCAGCGAACACTCGTGGCACATAAAATACCGGTATGGCAACAAACAACGTTACAGGGAGCTGGGATTAGGCCATAGGACGTACAGTCCTCGGATATTACTACTAGGCGAGGTTGCCACGCGTTGACGCCACCAAGTGGCAAGGCTCGCAACTACAGTTCCCCTGGCCA